TATATATATATATATATCCTCCGAGGCGGCCCCCCCAAAATCCTCGTCTCTTCCTCACCTTCTTTTTTTTCTCTTCGCGTTTTAAATTTACCTTGGCAGTTTACCAAATGCAACTCGCTAAATCACTATTTATACTGTTTTTCTGTTTTTCGCTTTTTTTTTTGTTTGTTTGTTTGTTCTTCTCACTTTTGTTGGTCGGAGACGTACGTTCACACCATTGTTCATCGTTTCGACGTTGTTGTGTTACTTTCATAAAACAGGGACGCATTAAACTTCTGTGTGTGTGTGTGTATGTTCTTTTTTTTTAAAAGGTTTTTGTTCCTTTTTCTCTTGTTGTTACAGACTATTAAAGCTGCATGCTGCACTTGTTTTTCTATTGCTTCGATAGGCCCAAATCTCAAAAGAACTTCGCGGTGATCGCCAATTATGGCGTTTCTTCTTCTTCCATTTTTTTCCCTATTTTTTTCTCTTTCCTGTCGATTTGTCCTTCGTTGAGAGTAGAGCGATATTGTTTTTGTTTTCTCACAAGGAAGTTCCGCTCGCGGGAGATAATTCCGACATGCTTGTTTGGTCTGCCTCCTCGCTTCATGATATGTAAAGAGTGTTCAACACGAGGACGTGATGATTGTTCTTGGCCAGCGTCACGATGTATCCCTCGGATGTTATTTTCAAGCCGCAACATCGAGACACCTGCGGAGATATTCAACGATTAACACGTTGACTGCCACAGTGAAACAAGCCATATGTAGCCAAACAGACTTGATTTCGTTTTTTAAGTCATATATCGTCGGAAATGTATGCATTTAGTTAGTAGAGGCTGTTTGTCTTATTTAAAATTATACCGCGATATTAATTTTACACAAAAATTTTGTAACAGTATTTAAATAACTCATCCCCATCTAATTTTATATAAAAAAAAAAAAGGCTTACCTTGACGTATGGACATTCAAACTCAGAAATCAGCGAACCGTCTCTTGAGAAAACAGCCACGTGAAAACGATTACCGTGTGAGTCTCCTATCAATATGTCTCCTGCATCGCTAATATCTATCCCGTTCGGGAAGTTAGTTACATTGTCACAGCCAATGCGACGCAAAAACTTGCCTTCTTCGTTGAACACCACCACACAGTGCCCCTTGAAGTCGCACACAAAATATTCTTTACCTGAAAGTTAGGTTAGGGGATCAGCGTTAGAACTACCATCGTGGGTATTCGTGAAAGTTCACATCTTATCTCCATTTTTTACGTCTTTTTAACAGTCTTACGAACGTGTTAATTGAACCATCCCTTACCACTAATAGCAATATCACTTGGTTCCCTCATATATTCACTGCAGTCGAACCACCTCAATAGATCGCCCGTGTCGCTGATCACGAACACCGTCGGCGACACGCTATCAACAGCCAATATGTGACCCTCGCTGGTTACAGCTAGGCCAGCTACAATATCGATGTAACGAATCGCTATCTTTTTGATAAAGTGACCGTTCTTCGTGAATATCTGCATTCTGGAACGCTCGTTCCCGCGGTCACAGACAACGAATTTCCCGCTGTTTCGCATTACGGCGACCTTCCTGGGATACCACAGTTGTCCCTCCTCCTTGCCAGGAACACCAAATTGGAATTTGAAAATGCCAGTCTTATCGAATATCTGGAACGAATTTATCATGTATCAGTGTTTCTTTCTTTTTTTTTTTCTTAACGAACAAGTAAAGTTGTTTCTTTCCATTTTTTATAAATGCATAACACTCGATGCATACTTGAATTCTATGGTTATTCGTGTCGGCGACGATGATATCTTCGTCGGCACTTAAACAGAAACCATGGGGTGAACTGAATTGACCTTTACTGGGGCCTAACTGCCCAAATTTAGATCGGATATGCATGGGCGTTAATTTCGCGTTGTTCGACCGTGGATGGGCGTAGTTACCGGATCCAGAACCAGTTACGTTGCCAACAGTGTTTGGCCCTACCCCTGGCATGTTGTGTATCGAGTCTCCCATCAAGTCATCTACGAAGAATCACAAAAACATTCACATGAAGTTGAATGGTTCCTTTTATAAGATTAGCAAAAAATTAAAAAAAAAAAAAAAAGATTAAGGTCCACTTACCAGTAACCTGTGACAAAATCGGTGAACTGGAGGACGACAACGGTTGGAATCCTCCATTTAAGAGACTGTTTGCAGCCAGAGTTAAATTCGGCGTGTCTACGATCGCTGGTGACGGACCTCTGCCCAATACCAAACCGCTACCACCGTTAATTGCCGCGTTTCCCAGATCTGCAAAGACAAGAGCAACGGAATATTAATCTATCTTTTACAGTAAACAGCAATTACACAGACCACTTGGTAGTCAAAATACAGCAAAGTACGAGTTTCTTTTGGAAACTTTCTAACAAATGGTTTTGTAATTTTATAGTTATAAACTGTGAGGTAATTCCTATTTCATAATATTTTTACGCTGATTAGTGTATTTATATATTACATTTCCACATCTTTTATAACTAGACTGCGGATTTTATGCATTTATAGCCAGCGGGGCTTTATATAATACAATACAGAAAAAACTCAGGAGCAATGTGTTTTCTACTTTATATTCCAAAGAAGAAAGAAATTTCTATCTTGCTGTTGTCTTAAAAAATTACTTTAAAAAATGTCATTTTGCATAAAAATTCACAATCTATTTATAACTGTTATATTCTATATTTCATTTTTATCTTTATGTTAGTGTGCAAGCAAGTCCTTTTTCCTTTCTTTATTGTGAAGTCAGACCTATGTACAGGTAATACGTTCGTTACTTCCACAGGATTTAAGCAACTGTAAATTTATTGGTTAATAAATAAAAAAGAAGAACTCGGCAAAGTTTCAAAAAAGTTGGAATTTTCTACGTAAGAATCGTAAAATGACCTTCTTTTTATGGCCCCATTAGGTTTACTGCCTCTCTCCCTACAGTCACCCCCCGTTTATGTCCTCACCTTGATTGCCAAGCGAGTTCCCCAACTTCGCCAGTGCCTGTAGATTATTGATCGCGTGGCTGGTCGAGCTCAGATCGCCGGCAAACAAATCTGCCAGAGTGAAAGGCGGGGTTGGGCTTGGATTTGAGCTGGGCCCAACTACATTTGTGTCTCCGACCATCTCGACCTTCTCCGCCAGACTGGCCAGCTGCTGCAGATTGTACTCCTGAATACTGGTGAGGCCGTGGATAGGACCTGGCGGAAGGGAAACGGGCGGCGCTGGAGGTGGTATATTCTGGGGACTCGACGTGGGCGGTATAACGAACGGGGGTTCACCTTCGAACGAGGATTGCACTGACGCGGGAAGAGATATGGGAGACCTTGTGCTAATGGAACGGGGACAGCCCATCGAGGTATGAACGATCTGCTGGCTCGTGGTCACGCCTGACACAGTGGTGATCGGTTCGCTTTTTACCGTCGGCGTGCTCTCTGTGTGAAATTTACCGAACACCTCCTGCAATACCAACCGTTTTATTATTCTGTCCTTTTAAATCGATCCCTTCTTTCAAAACATTTCTTCCGTTACCTTTAACGCTTTTTCGAACTGATTGTAATCGGTCTGAAATTCAATGGAGAAGGAGACATTCGGCTTCGGTGTGTTTTTTATCAGATTCATTAACTGCGTCCCGACGATGCGACGAAGTGCAAGGATCTCCACGGCGTCACCGTGTTCCAGAAGTCTTGAGGTGAAACGGCAGGCGTTCTCGATCTTCTCTACGGTCTTCTCGACACTGTATAAGAGAACGTGAATAAATACGGTGGTATCGAGAAGAAAACAAGAATATTAATTCCCCTGACCTGTGAAATGTATCCATTATTTCCAGCTCCCTGTTGGAATGCAACTTCTCGAGCTCGACCAATGCGTTGTCACGACATTTCTCTAGCACAGCCTTGTAACTCTGAAACGTTTCTATAATCAGATCTTTCGCCTGATCGTGTTGCGTCTGAAGCTCTCTGAGCGCGTTGTCCAGCTGCGCGGACACCTGATCGCAATCAGCGATCCTCGCTTTACTTTCGTTCACTAATTTGATTAATTCTTCTTTTTGCCGTGGTTCTGCGTCTACTAGTCGTTCGTACTGGTGGTCAGGAGCTTTATGCTCGACAAGCAAACATTCATTACATATTGGTTCCTAACCAAAAAAAAAAAAATGCATAATAATAAATCATATTTCTAAACATTTCTTAATCATTAAGGCTCATGCAGATCAAAATTCCGGCATTATCCATACTACGTATGGGCTCAGATGCATATTATCAATGTATTCCACAAAATAAGAAAGAAGCACAAATTACCTGGCAAGTGTAACAGTAAAACTTCATATTCTCAGCCGGATGAAACTCGCAAAAAATAGGTTTATGTATCGGTATAGCTTCGTTGGACTTCTTTATGTCTTCGAACGCGACCACCTTGTGGCTCTCGAAGCATCGCATGAACTGATGCGCGCAGTTGCAGCTCGGGCACAAGAAGTTGGCACAGTCCGAGCATCGTGCGACCGCGCTCTCTTTGGCTTTGCACGAGGTACAGAGCACAGCCATGCTCTCGATCGCGGACATGTCGAGTATATTAGTCAGAACGTAGTCGCAGGTGAGCGACGCGGCGCCCTTAGAGCTAATGGAAGTTTCTTGCTGACAGATCGGACAGACGAGGACCGAGCTGACCTTCGGATCACCGGCCTCGTCCATCAGTAGTTTGTCCAGGCAAGCCTCGCAAAACACATGGAGACAAGAGAGCACTCTCGGTGAGCACAGCTTGCCCATGCATATGGCGCACTCCTCATCTCCATTCTCGCCATTGCCGCAATTGATCTCCTCCAGAGCATCACCGGGACTGGAGCTCTCGTTGCAGCTGGCAACAGCATTTATGCTACGCTCGCTAAAGACATCTCCATTCTCCACCTCTTCGCTCTGCCCGATACCAGTACCAGCTGGGACCGAAGCTGTTCCAGACGGAACAGCCACCATGGACGATGCCATTCTATGTGATTATCCGTCTGTTTTGCTCAGCAGTGATCGTTCCTCCTGTTACCAAACAGTTACCCCCCGTTGATCGACAAATTGAGAATAAAGTGAGACTGAAACCTCGTCGTTCAACAGTCTGCTCTGAGAAACGGGACGGTACCTACAAGAGAAAAAAAGGAAAATGTGAGACAAATGTAGAAAAAGAATAGAAATCTCACAAAACCTGTGGTCTCACAGGGCAAAGTACAAGACATTGCGTTGGGTTTGTCCGGAAAGTTGTGTTACAATATATCGGAACAAGTGAAACTCAAGGAAAACATATGAAGTTCGCGTATATTCTGAAAGGTTATATTTTCATGTGTCTTTTGAAAGTATATAGGATTTGTTGCTATTAGTACATAGTACTTTGTAAGACTTATACTGTTTTGAAGATGGAAGAAAATAGAGTACATTTCCCACACTTAATGCTTTCCTTTTAATGAAACAAAAACAGCCGGTGAAATAACAGACAAGGTGTGTGTGATGTTTGTGAACAAGATACTCTATCAGAAAGAACTGTTTGCAAATGGTTCAAAAGATTTCCTTAATGGCAAAAAAACTTTGATTCCTTGGAACAAGTGGAAAAAGAAACCATTTCAATCGGTCTCCTGATAACAAATCTGACAGTTTTTGGTAATAAGGAGTTTTCAAATTGCCTAAAAGATGTGCAAACAAAACAGAATGTGGGTGTCTTGTTGGAATAAAGAAATAATTGCTTGAAAATATATGGAGTTCACTTATTTACCTAAAAATCGGCACCAATTTTCCGGACAACCCCAATAGCATTGATCGCGACCATGAAAACAAAACACTGTGTCACGGTTCCGTTTCCGGAAGGAGATTCTCCATCCGGGGACGAATAAATAACGGACGTTTCGAAACTGTTGCGAGGGCGCGCTGAAAAAAATTGAATTAACGCGCGATGGTCCAGCTACGAATAGAGTTACCGATATATTCTCGGTTTCTCCACGCTATACCCGTTTTCGTTCGTCTCTGGGCAGGCTTTAGCTGTTCGGTTCGACGCAACTAAGGAAAATTCTACTTTCTGTCACGATGCTGCATCGCGTGGTTTATTTATGTTATGAAATCGACTGCTCACCTCGTGTATTATGCTTACCAGTGGGGGCTCGTTATTAAATCTTCGTTTTGAACACGACCAACGTTTCGGCTCGCTTCGTGCCCGTAGTACTAGCAAACATTATTATCGATCACACGATTATCACCGACCCGTTCCTGATTGTACACGGCGATTGTTTCAATTTCAATTGTTATCGCAGCCTCGACCGCCAATATTTCGGGCTTTCTCATATGTAAAGCGGAGGAATAAATCATTCGAACCGAGAAGAGTTGACCCCGATGCAGGAGCCCTGCACAAACAATTAATGCAATGATGGTACACTTATAGAACGTGCACGGGACTTGCAGTAACTCACCTCCGCGAGTCGATGCAGCCGATTGGACGACACCTGGTGGCCGTTGCCGTCAACTATACGTATCGAATCGTGAAATTTTCAATTAATTAATTTAAACAGAATAGTATCAATTGTAGGCACTGTAGAAATAAACTTTTATTTAATTAATTGTCTTCGTGAAATATTTGTACGATAAGTTTGACGTAGATAAAGCTTAATGGTAATTGCATGGAAAGAAGACCAGACACCATAGGAAGGAAATGGTGTAACTTCCGATTTCAAGTGAAAAGACACAAACGGAATATACGACTCTAAAGATATAGGGATAGTTAGATGTGAAAAGATTTATTGCGCAATTAAACTTTTGATTACAGTCGTCCGTCAACAAATCTGGAAACTATAAACAGAAATTATACAATTGCTTTGTAGTGTAGGCTTAAAGTTCTGAAACGTTTAAGTAGTTGTTCGAAACGTTTGATACACATCTGTTGCAATAATCCACGACAGTATTACGCAGTAACAATTTTCCATTTTTATTTACGACATGCAAACTTGGATTCCGCTAAGAGAATGGTCTCGGGAATTATTTAAATTTATGTGAAATTAACATTCAATTTAACATTTATTTTGGTATTTGGAAGCCCTTTTTGTTACACCACTTTCTCCCCTAGCGGATGCCGAATTTGCTCGCGAGGTATACATCGATTATTCCGTTCTTTCATGAACTTAAACCTACCACCTGGTGGCAGAATACGCGAACCAGGGCCTGGCAACACCTCTTACACGCATGTATAAAAAGATTGCATATTTCCAGGGGCAATTCTTAGTTCACTGATTCGTCCACTAGAAGGCTCACGATGTTTGCCTAACCATAAACTGACTAAACTCCTGATTTACAACATAACACAACACCTAATGAATATTATCATAAACTATTCCAACAAATAAAAAGACATAAAAAAATGTGATTTTTAATTATAATTCATACCTAATCCTGATATTATGTATACTATATATTCAGAAACATTAACATCAGATAAAGGTGTCGCCACGATATCCTAAGTCAGTGGTTCTCAGTGACAAATTCCTCTTTCCCGAGGACGTTGCTAAAAAAGCGTGACTACATCCTTTTTCTGTCTTTGTTCATCCGAACAAACAAATTCTAATTGACAGAATACCTTAGAATTTAATTGCGGGCAATTCACTTGGGAACAGAACACGATCTTTCGAAAGATTCGATGGCTCACTGACATACTCTCGATAACGATTCCCCGTCGGCCGTTTCGTGTCTCACCCTTTTCTGTCGTTCTGAAAAATTTCTCACGATTATTCCCCGTTTGGGAGTCACTGGCAACGGCGTTTTATGAGTACGACACGTTCAGGGGAGACGGTGTGTCACATGCATATCACGCGTCAGTATAAACGAACGGAAAAAATTCGTCGGGGCTCTCGGTCAATTTCGTTTTCGCTCGAAGGGAGGAGGACCGTACTCGATAGGGGATCGACAGTGGAAACCGGTTCCGAAGGGACCAATCAAGGCCTCTGGGAGTTCTTGGATCATTCAATTAATTCAATTATAAACTATTTTTCCGTCGGGCGACCCGTTTCCGGTGGTGTTGCCACTTTTTCGAACGCACGGGGCCGCTCTCCGAGATATTCCCTTTACGCGTAATTCAATTACTGTTATTACTTAATTGAATAAATAAGCCACGTCGCGTACGGGACACGACTCTTTCGTCGGCCGATACTCATTCAGGAATCGACGCTTCGTGACTGAACTCCCGAAGGATTTGGTAAGGAAGATATTTAATCGAGGACAATGTTCTGTTCTGTACAAGGTGTCCCGTCCAAGTGTTGCTATAAAAGTTCAGGGAAGATATATTTAACTTGTCGGTGTACGACCCGTCGAAGTCGATCGTGACCCCATAAGAAGAATTCATTCAAGACGATATTCGATTCATCGCTGTATAAACATGTTCGGTGATTATGCTTATCGTGGGGTCACCGGTGACCCCGTCGTAGAAACACGAAAATTAAGTGTATAAATATTTGTTTTAGAGATAACGTTACCGGCCATATCTTCGTGTGAGTAATCTCCAGAAGGCTATAACTTCCGATCTACTTTTTCCCTGAGGTATGTATGTTAGGGTCTTTTAATCATAGGTTGCATAAACCCTGTGAAATTTGAACTCTTTCTTTTCCGATTTCAGGAATATGAGATGGCCAGACTCATAGCGAATGGAATTATTTATTTGTATGTAGTCTGTAGTATTATCCGAGCTGATGAAAGTAACGATAACGACATCCAAGATGTAGTATCCGAAGTAGTGTACAAGACTCCAGAGGTGTCTGGATTCGCGTATCTAGTGGACACCTTCGACGATCTTGAAAAGTTCAAGAATACATGGGTGTTGTCCGAAGCCAAGAAAGATTCTATAGACGAGGACATAGCTAAATACGATGGTATACTCTTTACTATATATATTCGTTAAATGTAGTACTTGTAGACTTTTAATCTTTGTCATCTTTAAAGGGGTTTGGTCTATAGAAGAACCCAAGATACACGCGCAGGAGGGTGACTTAGGATTAGTGCTGAAAAGCAAAGCTAGACACGCAGCAGTATCCACCAAATTGTCTAAACCTTTTCACTTCAAAGACAATCCACTAATAGTGCAATACGAAGTGAATTTCCAAGAGGGCCAAGAATGCGGAGGAGCTTACTTGAAGCTGCTCACGTTGGACCCAGAACATGTGGATCTGAAGATTTTCCACGATAAAACTCCTTACACTATAATGTTCGGGCCGGACAAGTGTGGAAATGAACACCAGGTATATACAACAGAAAAAGCTCCATCCTTAGTCGTTCGCAAGCTAATTCCTATTCGATCTTATTCCAGCTGCATTTTATATTCCGGCACAAAAATCCTCTGAACGGTTCCATAGAGGAGAAACACTGTAAAAAGCCGAGGGAACGCCTGGAGGATTTCTTCAAGGACAAACAGCCTCACCTTTACACCCTGATTATTCGAGCGGACAACAGTTTTGAGATCAAAGTGGACAATAAGGTTGTGAATTCTGGCTCGCTGCTGGACGACTTCAGTCCCCCTGTTAATCCACCATTGGAAATCGAAGATCCTTCGGACGTTCAGCCCGACGACTGGGACGACAGAGAAAGGATTCCAGATTTGTCGGCTGTTAAGCCGGACGACTGGGACGAAGATGCCCCGGCACAGATCGTAGACGAGGATGATGTTATGCCTGACGGATGGCTCGAAGATGAACCACCAGTGATCCCTAATCCCGACTCCGTCAAGCCTGAAGACTGGGACGTCGAGATGGACGGTGAATGGGAACCCCCAGACATACCGAATCCAAAATGTGCTGACGCGCCAGGATGTGGACCGTACCAGCAGAAGATGAAGAAGAACCCACGGTACAAGGGTAAATGGTCCCCGCCCTTGATCAACAATCCCGATTACAAAGGGAAATGGAAGCCTAAGCTGATACATAACCCCAATTACTTCAACGACGAGCATCCATTCCGAATGATGCCCATTGTATGTGTTCTCCTTTCGTGGTACAGAAACCTTGGGAGCTCGTGGTACGAGTGTTAACATATGGAAAATTTGCATTTTTACAGTATGCAGTCGGTTTTGAACTGTGGTCTATGTCCACGGACATACTCTTTGATAATATTCTGATAACAGATAACGAGGACGTAGCGAGGAAGTGGGCCGACGATACTTTCGAAGTACGTCGCGCCAGAATCGCGGAGGAAAGCGTAAGTAATCTTTTGCTTCCAACTTAATCATTCTTATGCATCGCGTGAGAAGGATATTTAATGAAGGTTAGGTGAAAACAAAAATGCATTCATGAAATATGATACGTGTACAATGTACCATGCAGGTGACATTATGGGGTCGCATTTTAAAAGCTACGAATTATAAACCGGGCTGGTGGGCGCTGTATATCATATATTGCGCGATACCAGTTGTAATATACGTTTGGTACCTACTGAAACGAGCTCGTGAGGTACATTCGGTCGTTATTCAGATATTTTACTCTCTTGCTTTTTAGAGTGTCGGTACAAGAGCATAACGATAGTATAACAGCTAAGCAATTTAATATTAATTTAAATTATACAGGTTGTCCCAAAATAGCTTCGACTCCCGGGAACCCCTAATTTCCAAGAGTCGAAGCTATTTTGGGACACCCTGTACAGATCGGCATATTAGTAGAATGGTTACGTCATAGATTGTGTACATATTATTTGTAAAGTAGGAATACTTTTCATCCGATAATTTCACTACGCAAATCGTTACAGGGTGAATTCCTATGTAAGTTGTAAATTCAGGATTTATACTTTTGTAATTATTTTATATAGTGGAGCGTGTGGCGTCAGATTGGCACATTTACAGCGGAACATCCTTGGATATGGACTGTATATTTAATAGCTGCTGGTTTACCCATAATGCTAGTTATATATTGTTGCTGCTTTGCTTCTCAGGTATAAAAAAATCATCAACCCATAATCATTATGTATTTAAATAGCCGATTGGTAGAATTGTAGTCGGTGGAAACGATATAATGCGTTCACAAAATGGGAGATTGAACTGAAACAAAGTTTGAATAGATGATACCATCCAGAACGAACATTTCTGATACCCCATATTTCTGTATTCAATCCGTTTTAGTATCCGAAACACGAGTACTTTAGCTACCGTCCCTTTTTATGACTACATTATATCTATTTCACAAAGAGTACCTCCAAGTATACAAGGGTAGCGTCACAAATTCTCGATCTAACTGGATTAGAAAATAGATGGAAGTACCCTTGCAAGCAAACTCGGCTTCCGCTAGGGGAAAACATTGCGTAAGAGTAAGGGCCTCCTACCACTTTGTAAATTAACTTTAGTACTGAAATAAATGTTAATTTGGCATAAATTTCAGAACTTTCGAAACTAAGTGGTAGGAGGTCCTTCTCCTACGCCACTTTTTCCCATAGCGGAAGAGGCATTTGCTCGTGAGGGTACATATACTTAGAAATAGAAGAGAGTAATGAAAAGTACAATGACAGAGGAAATGTGGAACTGATCAGTTGACTTTGTAGGACAAATACGACTTAAAGGAAGAAGAGAAGGAGCCTCTAGTTGAAAACGAAGAAGCCGAGATAGAAGAAACCAAGAAAGCAGAGGCAGCAGAAGCAGATAAAGCAGAAATAGAGAAAGCAGAAGCAGAAATGGAGAAAGCAGAAGCAGATAACGCAGAAATAGAGAAATCAGATAAAGCAGAAATAAAGGAAGCTGTAGAAGATAAAGTAGACGCAGACAAAGCAGAAGCAGAAGCTAATAAAAGCGAGGAAACTGAGGAGATAATAGAAAGTGAAGATAATGTTAGTACCCAAGTATTGTACATGTCACAATTGATGTACACATAACCTCATTGTTTTTATATTCGGATGTTCTAATCTCGTTTCAGGAGAAGCTAGCGATGGGTGGCGATGGACCACGACGAAGAAAACCAAAGAATAGAGATTAAAATTTAAACGATGTGAAATTCGTATTAACTAAGGATATTTATGCAAATCTTTCACATTCCACGTAACACACTTGCCATTTTGTGTACGTTAGGATTTTTTCAGTGTCCCAATACAATGCAACGCGATCACTAGGAACCAGTTGGTTTGCCCGAAACATTACGCGCGCTCGTTTCAACTATTCAATTTTTTTTTCTTCTAATTATATCGTATTTTGTGGCGAATGCCTTTTCACACGTTCGGCATGTTTTACGTATGAATGATGACACATAAAATGAAAACAACACAGTTTGTAACGAATGATGTTCGGTGTAACTATTTATGCCTTAATAATATGTAGCAATGTAACTTTTGTTATTGTATATTGAAGGTGAATAATAGAATACATTTATTCACGATTTCTTGTGTGAGACCGAAAAGAAAAAATGGAAAAAAAGAACCACGTACAATTACATTAACAATATTCAATTATCGTTTTCACAGACATTTGTATCGTTCGATGTAATTAATCGTTCTTAAACAATATGTTTCATTCCTTTTGCTATTACGTTAATAAAATGTACAATGTGAACGGAATATTTTTATGTACCGCATTTATGTTATATATTACTTATAACTGTTAAGTTTGGAATTGTTTGAGAGTAATTAAAAGGATACATTAAGAAAGTCTATTTTCTTCTGTGACAAATCAGAGAAAAATTCGAATTTTTGAAAGTATAGAAAGCTAAAAGAAAAAATCTAAAAGACACCTCACATCAATCGTGTTCAGTTTCAGAATTATTTAATTTAATATTGCAAGCAATAGAAGTTTCGAACTTCATCCGCAGTACTGTACAATGCAGTATAAAATAAAGTCTTATTTAAAAAAAAAATTTTGCATACCCTTCCAAGAATAGTTCTATTATAATACAATTTGCACCGAATGATTGAAACAAAATTGTGTTTTTATTCTTAATTACTTTCTCGTATCTTTTTTTTTCATTATTTCGTTCTAAAGCGTTTAAAAAGGAAGAAAAACCATGTGAAGTATAGGATTTCCTGCTATCAATATTCGTTTAAAAGTTAACATTTCTATCTTTTCGATTAATCTTAATGATACGTTGCCTAATTTTAATATACATCCTAGGTAGAAATCACGAATTTAAATATTCAGAGAGATTTACTTAGGGACTAGTCGACGGAATACTGGAATTCTGAGTACATGACTCACAAGTAGGTACAGCACGTTGCGAAAAGTGACCAGGAAGAACCGTGTGTGCACCCATGCACCTTGTGCACTGCACTTCGCCGCATGACCAACAGTGATGCTGAAAAGTTCATTTGTATTAACTCCTCTGCTAACTTATTATGAGTGATACCATCGAGGAGTTCTTTGTAGAAAAATAAATCGAAAATGCCAGGTTGTACAGCTGATTACTGTACATACCTTTCGATTAAACGCGTCAAACGTAGTGGAACATGAACATTCTTCCACATTTCTCGCTGGTTTCCAATCCAAGGCGACTGACTTCAATTCATTCTCCAGCTGACTAATTTGCATATTATTCTTATTCTTCTCCTCGTGGTTCACTGTATTTTCTATGATCGTCTCGGACAGAGGATCTTTCGCGTATTTATTATCAAATTTCTGTTTCCCTTGTAGGCCCTTTTTCTGAACATTGTTCGAGTTCAGCGTTGAACTCAAGGCACCGACTCTCTACGGAGTTTGTTACATTATCCATTAATATATTAGATGGAAATTATAAAGATTATGTAATAACTATACCTTCACAAGAAGCTTTACATGATCTTCCAAGCAACTGGTGTGATCGTGCATCATTAATAGATGATCTTCCCACGTTTCTCTGGGATGAATGCCATTCTCAAATCGAAAATACATTCCTCGCCATAAACTGTAACGTTATTCGTATTTAATTTCTCCCGATTCGTTCTTGTTCTTACAAATACGTATAAATAATGGCTCTGTACGTTACATGATGCTCTGCGGAGCCAATTTCGGCTGAAGAACAGTATCGGTTTCGTCGTTCTGACGACTGCGTTTGTAAAGCGGATTTATGTATTCGTGCATATTGTTCGCCATGTGTCCCCACGAGGAATACGTTCTCTCCGATACCCTGGAAACAATCGAAGGTATATATCATTTGTTACACACGACAATACAGGGTGTCCCAAAATAGCTTTGACTCCCGGAGGGTTCCTGGGATGATTTGAAATAAATATATAAATAATTGTTGAGGAAAAAGTTATTTCAAATCATCTCAGGAATCCCTCATTTCCGGGAGTCGAAGCTATTTTGGGAGATCCTGTATAAATCGTGTAATATACCTGAGCATCTGTCTTTCCTTTTCCGAGTTTCCTATGAAAGTACCATGCTCGCAACTGTGCACGTCATCGTGCAGAGTCAACAAGAACAGTTCGTTGAACTGAAACTTATGCGGATACTGTTGCAGCAGTTGATACGACGCATCGATGAACTGCGTAAAAATCGGTGCTAATTCTTTGCTATCACTGCTAACGTGACCACAACGGTCACTGAACTTGTGTCCGAATGACAACCAATCTTTTTCGATTAATGCCTGAAAGAAGCCAAGGTTAAATTCCAGAAACCTGAACGTGATTAGCTAAAGCACCGACGAAGTGTAAGAATAGATCTTTCATCTTATGGGAGTTACTGAAGACACCTGAACCCTTGTATAGGCAACCGGGTACTCAGGTACCCACTTTTAAATTTCCTTTCGCAATCTTTTACGTTCTTTTCTAAAACAGCAATTGGTATGTTATAGGAAAGGAAAGCTAACAGTTTCGAAAAAGTATGAAAGTAAAATTACCTATGTTTATCTAATCTGGCAGAATACAAGTATTCCCATTGCTCAATAACCGTGAACATTTTAGTTGCCTACACAAGGGTTAAAAAGCCTGTGATTTCAACGACCTCTACGTTTTGAGAACAGTAAATTTACGAGGGTTAGTGGCACTAAAATGGAAATGGGGTAACCATAACTCCAAAAAAACATTGGATGAAATGTTCACTCCTATACCTCATCTGTGGCTAAAACTTGAACTTCTTACTTGAAAACCTTGAATCGTTCTGTAGAATGGATCCAATAAGAGCGCACTCAACGAACACACCTGAGCGGTGCGATCCCAGCCATCGCTACAATGCACTACCACGCTAACACCGCTGAAAACTGCTCTAGCAATGAACCATGCGGTTTCTAATATGGATCTTATATGTTTCAGCCATCCGCTGTTCTCTAATCCGCTTAAGAACGCGCTCATCGAAGACGTTCTCTGTACTAGGTATTAATTATGTACATTTAAAATGGTACAATAGTTTCATTGGTACAATTCAATAATGTATGCGCAAACTAATGGGTCCGATTCCTCAATTTCTTATAACTTTTTATTAACTTAAGCCCTGTGTAGGCAACCAGGTACCCAGGTACCCATGTCTAAATTTCCTTTCGCAATCTTTTACGTCCTTTTCTAAAACAGCAATGGAAATGTTATAGAAAAGGAAAATTAAGAGTTTCGGAAAAGTATGAAAGTAAAATTATCTATGTTTATCCAATTTGTCAGAATGGGGGTATTTTGATTGCTCAATAACTGTGAATATTCTGGTTGCTTACACAAAGGTTAACTGCGATGACCATTACTTTTGCTCATGCCTGACGAAATTCAGAAGAAAACTCACGGTCTATCAGTTTGCTCAGGCTGGTTCTCATCACGTGTATGTTCTCGATACCAAAGAAATGAAACTTTATGTTATCGTAAAAGTTCTCGTTTTCATATCCTTTCCCCGCAGCTCTATTGACGAAGGCGTTCACCTGAACCAACAAAGCGATATGTATTGAATTTTTAATATGTTTGTTAATTATGCGATTACAAAGATACCTTAACTGGTGTTTCTAAGACTTACGCGCGGTCTTGTATCTACAACATACATATACTTGGAATTGGGATTCATACATAGGATATTGTACATCATTTGCTCGTCTTCCGGACACCGGGCACTGAATCCTGATAGAGGCTGACTACATCGGCAAATTGCAGCCTATAATAATGATACAATGCATGAAGTTCACATTACAAAAAAATTGTTTTCTTTGCATGTTAATCGAACCTTGTTAGAATGTAAATATGTTAATACCGGTAACCTTCCTCTACTTCTAAACTTTGCACTACCCATCAAGGTACTGTTCGTGCATGTACTGGGTACATACAAATACTTGGGGTAAGTGTCGCATAGCTAAAAACATAGTTAATATAGTCCTAAATATTTACAGCATGTTTTGTGAATTATAAATGTTGTAATTTATAAATTCCTGTAATCAAAATATGTATTTCCATAAACATTCACAGAATTTTTATTATGTACCTCGTACTTTGTATTCAGATAAGATAGAGACCATTCTTCGTTTGGGACACCCTGTCTCTGAAACTCGCTTTGTACATTAAAAAAATTCCATCCTGCGTGCTGTGGTAAGGTGTCCCTACTTGCTTGGTATTTAAAACAATAAAGATCTTCTAGACTTACTAAAAATAAAATACATAAGCTGTAATTACAACACAATCTTCCTAACAAGTTTCACCGTCGAACGTACCTGGGCAAGATAACTTGGATAATGTTTGATATATGTCATGACAGTCTCGTTCCTTCGGAATGATAAATGTTACAATAAAAAAGTGTTTACATTTAATACACAACGGTGAGCCAGTAGTAGTTAAAGGTTGCTTCTCTATATTCGAAATATGAGTATACAAGACCTGAAACATACAGTGTTGTTAATATTTACGCTATCACAGATGAAACCAAATAAGAAGTTACTATACGCAGTGTCAACAGATTTTACACTGTACCCAAATCGTTTTCTTTCCGCTTCGTTCCATAAATACTAAATGAGTTACAGTTAAGTAAAGAGTCCCGACAGAGTAGTTGTTACTGTACTTATCCAAAATCCTCACATTTTCCACCTGGAAAAACAACTAAGACAGGTGTTAACACATCCAAAAGAAATAACGATCCCTGCGTTCGTCTCAATTTCCGATCTGCACATTCTCTGGCTGAATAAATAAACGACTTCGACGTTAAAGTTAAATAAATATATACAAATAAATCATTTCGACGTTAAAGTACATACTGTACGGGAACCCTTCGGTCTTTTTTTCGTTCTTTTATAGATAACAGAGAAAATGGTGCGTAACAAGAACGGCGGAACAACATATTAACAGATGTCAAGAACCACGTCCTTAAAGTTCATTCGAGATAACTTTGCGCTTAATCGAGGAACGTTGCGTTTGAATACCTTCGGAATCTTTATTTGAGCCATTTTGTTCTTCCCGTTTGCAATTGTTTACACCTGGTGGACCATCTGTCTGTTCGATAAATTGGGCACCACTGATCTATCTTCTTTGGCAGTGGTACTCAACCTACGTTCACCGAAACGTGTCCTATGCATTATAGGTGGCAGTATGGGGGCTACCATACCATACAATTTTGACAGATCTGTCGGTGTGAGCTTATAAATAAACAATTCTCTGGTCAGATTTCTCGTTTATTATGCGATAAGCATTACTCAAGTTTTATTGAATTCTGCATCATTGGTACAGTGAGTAACAAGAACTTACAAACGTCTCATGCCACTGCTTTGAATTATCCAGAGCCTCATTATGACCAATAAGACTGGTAATGCAGGTAAATCTTAAGTTCTGAATATAATTTTCTGCAAGGAACCTCTATTGCAAGGGCTTATTCAACTTCTTTGTTCCGTGTATTCAGGAGAGATCGATCCTGTGCAGGAGGAATTAGCTGGTCGTGTCAGAGAAGTTGGGAATTATGCAATCTGGAGTTTGTCCAGTTGTAAACCTGGTTTCGGTGTGGATCAACTACGCGACGATGTCACTGAAACTTATTGGCAATCCGACGGTCAACTTCCACACTTAGTGAACATTCAGTTCAAAAGAAAGACTACAATAAGAGATATATGTATTTATACGGATTATAAACTGGACGAGAGTTACACACCTAGCAGGTGAAGCATTGACAAGGGAGACTACCCCAACTGAATGTCTCGAATTTGGTTCAAACTCTTTTGAATTAAAGTATAGACTATGTACAAACATTGACTTTTCCTCGCTTGATTTTGAATTTAAAACACTGAATGTCAAACTTTGTTATTAAAGTGTGTCGAGACTTTGTTAATTATAAGTTCAATCTAATAAATCTCTTTTCAGGATAAGTATCAGAGCCGGCACAAACTTCAATGATCTCCAAGAGGTAGAAGTCATGGACTTAAACGAACCTAGCGGCTGGGTTGTAATTCCAATAAAGGACATAAATGAAAGACCTATCAGGACGTTTATGATACAAATAGCTGTGATAAGCAATCATCAAAATGGACGGGACACGCACATGAGACAGATCAAGGTTCACAGTCCAACGCAGGATGTTCTCGGACCACCAGCTCCTTACATCCCAGGCCAGTTCCTCACTAATGAGTTCTTGCGTTACGCAACAGTTAGATAAGACTTAAAGCAACAAACGTTTTATTGGTATTAAATAAAAATTATTTCTAAGCAAAGTATGTTGTTAATGAAATATTTTCGCTGTGAGCCGAATATGTCGTCGTACCCAATGGTGACTTGGAAACAAATAAAATTAAGTCACGATTCGTGACAATTGTAGCTTGGTAACTCTACCATCAGAATGGCTGATATATCCCAGTTTAAGTAGTAAGTCGTGTATATTGTAGTGTATATGAATTCAGGGAATCTCTACTGTGGACTGTAAGAAAAAAAAATATAAACACATTGTACAACGACTTCTGTTTGATCCATGATACATTCTGGTGTTTAGAGTGATAGTCAGAGTGTCCTAGTGCGAATATGATACTAAATATTCTACTAATTTTCGGATTAATTAACATAACAAAATGTCAGGTGCATCCGCAAACGAACTATGCCTTGATCACTGCTCTTGACCAGACAACTGAGTTTTTTGGAAAATTAAAATCAGACTATGGTACGTAGCTTCTTATAAAATATATAATTACGTATATTTATTTAAATACTATACCCTGGAATATATTATTTTTAGCGTCGAAAAATTTTACTGAAGATAGATTGGCGGAAATCGATGAGAAAATTGTGGCACATATAAAAAATATATCGGAAATAAGCCTCGATCGTCGTAAAAGAGAATTATCGGAAGAATTCAACGGAGGTACGTACTTATTGAAGGCAGTATTAAAAATAAATATAATTTCTTCTACAGTTGTATCTTACAATAATTTTATTCCTACTTATGAATTTGCAATTTCGCCGAATTTTCCTTCGAGTCCAAATAATTCTTTAAACGCATACTGTAGATTAAGGTCCGTTAAGTATTTCAAAAGTTGCCCTAGATCATTGTGACGTTCGGACGAGGGAAAAGCTATCTCCTGAAAATTACTGAATTTACGCATGCTATCGATGTCTTGACAGTCCTCTTTCTCCAATAATCGTATTATTATTTTGTGCCAATTCATAGACTTCACCTGAAATTTAAAGAACAGAATACTGTTTAACCATCTCCCACCCGTCTGTTGCGACAGTCGACTGTCGAAATATCGGATTTGATCGTGATAATATAAACAATCACTTTATAGTTCCTAATATCATTTGGAAAAAAGTATAAAAAGTAGTACAAAATCACTAATAGAAAGTACATACTTTCTGCCAATAAAATTCACAATCTTCGTAGGCACCTTCTATACAAATAATGCCTGGCTTTCCAGTCAAGGTGAAGCCTGTAAGAGAATTTTCTTTCGCTAAATTAAGTAGTTCTCTTCGTTTAGTTTTACTGTATATGTGATGACTGTGTATCCAATATCTAGTAAATATTGTAGATCTCCGATCCTCGTTCTTGCTTCTATTAGTTAATTGTTTTTCCTGATTCGCAATGGAAACCTCAATATAATCGTCCCCATTGTCTTGTAACCAGGACAACAATGTGTAAATACAAGGTTCTCCAGCTTGTTGACCTTCGACTACACCGCTCAGTGCTTGGTTCATAAGAAGCTGTTGAGTTCTATTCAGCGAAGAACTTGTTGCGTATACCTCTGGTTTCTCAGTGGGATAACTGGCTGACAGACCTACTAACAGTTCGATTGTTCCCTGTAGAGGAGATTAGGAGTAACTTTTTGGGAAATCATCCTGTACAAGTTAATCTATAAAAATCTATATTTATCGAAACAATTGCAGTCTAGTTCTAATACTGTTAAAACTTACATTATTCAATGAAAGTTCAATCGAGTACTCTAACTTTTGAGGAAGTTCCTCCGAAGGGTTTTTAATAAATTCGTTAATGTCAGCCAGTACTCCGTGGTCCCCGATGCGTAATTCTTTCGGATAAACAGACTGTAGAGCTTCCAATTCGCAAATTTGTGCAGTCAAATTTTCGAGGATTTCGTTGTACGTGGACATATTCGTGTTTCTCATACATATAGAGTCGAATTATTTATATTATCGACAAAAGGTACGGATAACGTTGAGGTTATCAATGTATGTCAACTGATCGCGCGCAGTATCGTGACGTCCACGTGCGTTTTGACAGGACAGTGTATCGAACGATGAATCGATTATTCAATTTTAAATTTAAAATTTAAATCTTTAATCACTTTTGGATATTCTCCAGGTATCAATACACTAAATGGATTTCAAGATTACAATCAACTGAATTTCAACAATGTCCGGGATATTAAATTTTTTTCTCTTCAAAGTGATCCACAATTAATTTCATTTGCGGTAGTTTTGAATAGTTCTACAATATCAGTATATGAAATAGATGTATGTTCCCATTCGTTACCTCTGTTTCACGTGTACAGAATCAATTAATTAACCAAAAATTCATTTCAGAATTACAAATTCCACTTTATCGTTGCTTATCCTATGACTACTGGCCGACAAATAATTACAACTAGACAAAATAAAGTTATTCGCAGCTGGACGTACAGTGTCCTTTTGATAGCTCAAAATCAGAATGACTCAGTGCAAATTTTGCTCTTCTCTAAAACCAACGAAAAGTACATCCTGGACCCAATTCACTACTTTGAGTCCAACAACATGACCGACTTGACAGTCTGTCATGGAGTGAATCAGTTGTATTTAGGCGTAGCAACATCCTCGAAAATTTCAATTTACACTTGGCTGGATGAATACTTTGACGAGATACAGGTTATACATCGTGGCACCAAGAAACTGATCCCTTTCTACAGTAAGGGATTTATATATCTCGCTGCCACTGGACCCGTCACCTTGATCTTCAAGTATTCATTCAAGTCCAATAAATTTGAAATCACACAGAGACTACCATCGAGTCAAGACGTCTCGTATTTTCTGGTAACAGAAGGTCATTACACGGATCACTTTTTAAGCATCTCCACAGAGTCTTCTGTAGTCGTATACAAAGAGATCTACGATCGATTTGTACCCTTCCAACACATTGCTCTTGGAAGGACCACAATGCCAATAGTTTCAAACAAAGCAGTTCTGCTTTTATCCTTACACGAAGACACTGTATTAAGCTATCAGTATGACGGCTGGAGATTTGTACAGTTAAATGTAAAACTGTTTGGCGTCGAGCAGATTCGACAAGTTCCATTGCATGGAAAAGAATTGTTGCTGGTAAAATACAAGAATGATACATGGACTTTGATGGAGCCAGTATGGAACAAACAGAAATCTTACAAAGATCTGCAGGAAGAAATCAGAACATGGAATATTAACGCTATGAAAGCAGCTAGGAGAACATTGGAAAACATTTCAGATTTGAAAGAACCTGTTAGAATTTTAAGGGGCCATATTGATCAGCTTTTCGTTCATAATGTAAGACCGTATGTTTTGTTAAACTACTCTAATTGTTTATATTCATTTATATTTAATATCTTTGCAGATAAATGAACACAATTCTCAAGCAATGAGGGATGCAACGAAGCTGTACAAAAAGCTGATCACGAGGCTGGAAGAGCAGAAAATTACCATGAATAGTAAACTACGCTCGGGTAACCTGACACTGACCTCTTTAAACGCGACGAAGATTCGAGTTAAATGCAGAACAAAATGTAAAGTCAGTCGTTTGAACATCGAAGGAAATTCTGATACTTCGTCCAAGTTGAGGAATACAAGACCCGACACTCAGGTGCAGAGTTTCAGAGCCGTAAGTGTCAAGGAAATGAATAATTGGAAATGCCCTGTCTTTAGTCTTCCGATAGAAACGATTATTGTTGATAAATCGATCAATGGGATATCACTGAATCATCTGCAGGAAAATACCCTTAAAGTAGTTGGCAATCAAGAAGTTACAGGTAAGATCTAAAACACTCATTTTATGTGTATATTGACTGCAAAAAATTATTACATTGTAGGAAAACACACTTTCTTCGGTGTGAACGTGACAGAAGCTCTACTGCCCCTGGATATTGCTTCAAACTTAACCAAACAAGAATTGGAGACAGGCGAGATTAAAGCGAAAGAATTGAATTTAACCGAAGGTGGATTTTTATTGCCATCCAATGGTCCGCCTGTGACAATGACTGGTTCTATAAAAGCATCCAAAATGAGAATAAAGGGCGACGTTTCTCTGGGAGGACGAATAACAGGAAAATCGGTGAAAAGTTTATTACCTGTGATGATGATTTCCGAAACCATGACACTGGGTGGTGGTTCAATTCTGGAAAATGCTAAAGTCGAGAATTTAAGAGCGCAAGACTTAGTTACTAACAAGACAGGATCAGTTACAGAAATTTTGACGAACGCCATATCTTTGAGTGAAAATGTACCGGTATCTCTGGTACTTTCAAGCGAAAAAATGGTGAGAAAGTTGTCATTACTATATTTTCGTTATTAGGAAATAAGTAATAAGGATGCGTTCTTACTCAGAAATGGAGCAACATCACATTACACGGTTCCCAAAATTGGGTCACTGCTAATTCTCAGAACACAGTCGTTATATCAGGAAAGAAACAATTTCTTCGCAATGTGGAGATAACAAAGACTTCCTACGAGAACCTAAAATTACCTGTGTAGGTTATCTTAACATTTTTCTGTGTTAAGGATTCCTTAGTGTGATTCGATACTTAAGAAATCCTTCTGCTTTTTCAAGGATCGAAACACCAGTGTGTACGGCTACCGTAATGGCACCTGAAATCAAAACTACAGTGCTAACGATTAACAATATTACTGTCAAAGACCTGAACAGTTCGTATGTTTTTGGGAACCTAGGTGAAAGATATTACAGTCAAAATTTAACGTTTCTGTTCAAACCCCTGGATAAGTCCACCGAAACACTTTATTATAATGTCACTGTAAAGAACGCAACAGTAACTCGTATGAATAATATGAACTTAACGGGTAAGATTGAGTTATTCTTTAAATTTTATGATGACATTATGATTGATATTTTTACAACTTGTGCAGAGTTAAAAACACTGATGGATTCATGGATTCAACCTAATACACTCAGAGGTCCGATCGAAGTGACAAATTTAACAGTGGATATTCTTCGATCGCCTATTCAGTTTCGCCTGGAGCTACCCAAAGTAATAAGGAACATGATATCAAAACAAAATACTCTTGTAAGTAGTGTTAACGGTATTGATCTTACTGACTTCTTGTCCAATGTCATCAAACTTGAAGATATGATATCCTTAGGGAATATAACGTTCGGTAAGTCAAATATTTTAATTATTATTATCGAAGTTATTTGTTTTCTTGACTGGTCTATTAGTATATTCAAATTTGTTAAAATGTTCCAATTTTTTTTTAGGCAATGGATTCACAGCAAATCATATCTACGCTACCCACCTACCATTCAATTTCTCACAATTAGAAGAAAATTCTAACTTACAGAAAAAACAGATTTCTGGCAATCTAAAAGCAGACACGATAAATCTGCCGTATTCTTTCGCATTCCCAGAAAGCGAGGATCCGTTTAATATTATTGTCAAAGACTCTGCAACGTTTCTAAGCGAACCAAACATACAGAGAATGAATAACGTTGAATTAGAAGAATTGCTTGGGAAGATTTGGTTAGTTGGAAATTCAACTGTTGTCCAGGGGAGAAATTTGCATATTGTAAATGCATCGATGACAGGAAATGTTACTCTGAATGTGAGTGCTTATTATTTTACCGCAACGTTCGCTGGATAATATAAAATAAATAATCCCTTTCAGACTGTCTCCGATATATTAAATCTTGAAACATGGAGGAACATTTCGAAACGTGTTTTAAGTAAAACCAGATCGCAGGAAATACCAGTTCTCAGCACTTTGAACAATGTAGAAACACCTGGTATCATTGGTTCAAATTCGTCTACCGTAAAGTCTTTTGCTTCAGACTTCAATGACATGTTCAAGAATGCTTTAGTTAGAGACAAAAAGCAAGAAGTCAAGGCAAAATGGACGTTCAATAGATTAAAGATTTTAGGTATTAACCCTCTTCTTTTCAATTCTGTCGTTGCTCATAATAATGACTAATTCGTTTTTTTTCATTGATTTAGGTGAATTCCGTGCAAAGAGTAATATTAATAATAAGAATCTGAAAACGGATGTTATGAGACTCGATTCTAAAGAAATTGTAGTTGCTGGAAAAACAACAGTGATAGATTTGACAGCAGAAAATCTGAATGGTTTAAACTTCGATGAATATGTCAGCAACAGTTTTAGACAGGAAGAGAAATTGATAACTATTAAGGGCCGCAAGAGCTTTAATACTGTCACTATTAACAGTATAAAGTAATTAATTGATACCAACCTGTTAATTATTACTATTTGATTATGATATTTGTTTAAACAGAAGCTGGTGTTTATGTTACAGCGTATCTGGCAATGTGATGGGACAAAATTTAACAGAGGCACTGTCCAAATCGAAAGATCAGATAATCCGTGGTCAAAAAACGTTTCAAGGATCCGTCAATGCATCGACACTTGTTGTTGACGGTCTGGTGAACGACGTAAATCTAACCAATCTAATAAATCATCAATTGAAGAAGCAGAAGCCTGTACAAAGGATCAAAACAGGAATCGAGTTACAAAAGTCCTTAACAATCGTTGAAAATCTTACGATTAATGGTTCCTACGGAAGTACAGAGTTGAAGAATTTTTACAAGATTTATTCTAACATAGCTCCCCTTGCCGAGAAAACGAGTAATTATTCTAGAGCAAGCGAGACAATCAACACGGCATTAAAAAGTTAGTAAATATTTCTCCTGCCACGGTTTCTTGTTTTTTTTTTTAAATATTCGATTACCGTTACAGATCGAGCCGTTTACATGAATAAGCTGAAAATTGTCGAAGGAATGGAAGCTGTTAATATTTCGAATAAGAATGCATCACTTCAGAGGGAACAATGTACATCCATATTGTGTTCCCACGAGAATGTGATCAATGATATCCTTAAATCGAACTCCAGCGACTTTGTGTTCATAAAGACGATTGTATTAGACGAGGAAGAGTTTATAGTCAGGATAAATCTGGACTATGTTGCTATATTTTTGTATAATACAGCAGAAAAAAGAATTCAGGATTTGCAAGGTTTGTTTTATACACCTATGAATTCCGTATCGATAAGAACGCTAAAGATATTATTGAAAATAATTATAATTATTATTATTCGATTAAAACTTACAGGTTTTCATATTCCCAAAATAATTGAGGCGCTCGTGGAGCCGATGTCATCCTCGATATGGATCGCCTTACGACTGAGCTCGCAGACACTGGTGCTGCATTATCACCCCTGGAAGGATCTACAAGAATATCTGTTACCTGCCACAGATGTTTTTATAATGAGCCGGTCGCCGAACGGACAGCTTTTGTTATTATTATCGGACGGTGTTTGGAACCTCGAGGGACTTGCCAGTCCCGAAAATATAATTGAACTACCACTCGAAGGACAAGTGGAAACCTTTATCACCGGGTTCGATTATTATGTAAGATGCAGGTCGAAAAATGACACGACCCTAATGAAAGCGCGATACATAGGAAACTGAGCATCATATCGCTGTACACGATGAATTTTAATCATTACTAAGTTACGTATTATCCTTGTTACTATAATGTTAAATGTCGTTGCCTTAGATAATGTATATAATATCGTTGCTGGATACAACAATGGGAAGTATAATAAATTTAAATGTTCAAAAAAATATACAACTATAAAAGTCGTTACGAGCATGATTCTTGCGACAATAGAGTTTCCAAAGCTAATATCTACGTATTTTACACTTACAGCGATGTTATCTCTCAGACATTTTTCATGATTGGTCTGTGTGCGATGGAAGACAGCGTCACCTGAAAATCAAAGGAAGGGAAGTCAGTGCAATGGACATATTAATGTCGACAGATTAGATATACAAACGTTCGCAGCCTTCTTAATCACAGTGACCTCCTCTGGTTTCCCTCTGACCGGATGCATTTCCAGCTTACTCTTCTCCTCGACTTTGAACAGTTTCTGCAAAGGGAACAGTGAAATTCTGTAAGCTATTCTGTCCTTTGCTACGATTACATAGCTCACGGTTCTCACTGGGTCCTTTTTGGAGAACCTGTCCTCCATTTTCTTTTTTCAGCAGGTGTGAGGACAAGAAGTCGCGGATCCATCGCGACCCACTCGCTGTTTATGATCTGATCCAATTTCAAACGTTTCCCCGGGTCAGGCTCCAAGATAGAGGTAATCAGGTGCTTCACCTGCTCGCTCAAGTTCGTCACCACCTTGCTACGGAACTTCCACTTGCGATTTTTCTGTTGTACGTACAAACGTTTGATATCGGTGTCGTCGAATGGCATCGCTTTGTTTAGCAGGATGTACAAGACGACGCCCAGGGACCAAATGTCGGCCGTTTTCGGGCTGTATGGTGTACCCCGGAGAATTTCCGGTGCGGTGTAAGATAAAGAACCGCAGTATGTGTCGCTGAGGACCTGTTTTCCCCGTTCGTCGATCACATAACGGGCGAAACCAAAGTCGGCCAGTTTGAGATTATAATTCGACGTCAGTAGCACGTTCTCGCACTTCACGTCACGATGGGCTATCTCCAGCTCGTGCAGATACTGCAAAGCTGGAAAAGAACTCTATATGATGTTAAAGTAATTGTTCATTGCTGTTCGAAGTTAACAAGGAAAGACCTAGGGATCAATTTTGTATAATTCTATCAATTTAGAAGATGAAGAATCTTTTGAAGACTTCGAGGAATGTACTTTTTCCACCTAACATGATTCGCAATGAAGAATGGTGCCCAAGGGACATTCTGACCTCGAGACACCGCTTAAGTATACTTGGAAGGTCTGTCTTGCTTATAAATTCCATGTTAGTATTACCAAGTGCAAGTTGTCGAAGCCATACACGAGCCTGGCCCTCCTGAACTGCACCGTTCTTCAGGATGAACTCAAGAAGATCACCATTCTCAGCGTATCTCATGAACATGTAGTACTTAGCTCGCCTTTGGAATATACTGTGCACATGGACCACATGGGGATGATTCACTTTCGCCAGAATGTCAAGTTCACGAGGCAGGAACTTGCGAACAAAGTCCTTCGGTGCTTTCAAAGTATCTATTACTTTGCAGGCCAGCTTGTTGTTCTTGTCTGACTCCGTTTCTGACCTGTATTCTGTCAGATATACCTACAATATGCAGGCTGTTTTTGAAAAAAGAGCTAGAAACTAGGGACACAGAGATACTTTATGGTCCATTGAGATTTTGTCTGATGGTATAGTATGAGACTTTTTGAACCTAAACCAATCGATTCTATCTTTCATATAATTCTTATTTTTTAGATTTACTTTTGCATAGGCACCTTCCCCTAGCTTTTTTATGAACTTATAACCGCGCGAGTATAAAATGGCCTTCTCAGACGCTGTTTGATTCAAATCCGACATGAGATCTGTCGATCCTCTTGTGGCATCCTACCGCCTCTGTAACAACCAGAAATTAATTGAAACTGATGCTCTCTAAACTACGTTTCCCAATGAGAAACTGTTACCCTTGTTGATCCTGGCATCGGAAAAGTGAAACGGAAAACAATATAACTTTCCTTCTTGAGTCATTCAATAATAATTAATTGAAAAAATTGAACAGATTCGAATTTCTCATTATCCATGTTTAACAGAATTCTGGGTTCCTCACTTGTGGCTGCTAAATCTGTTCTACTATAATGTATTTTTAGTCAATTAACGGAAATTTCGTTCTTTTGATGTAAATGTGCTTCACAGTGTCATCCTTAAATGCTTTGTTTAAATGTCACGTTTTTGTTGATGTGCCCTGGGTTTTTTTTTTGTGTATGCATTGCGCCAAAATTTCATTCTAACAACGGAGATACCTGTTTTTTTACTTAACCATTTTGCCCAATTCATGTCTCGCTCAAAATTAGAGATCATGACAGGAGAACTCATGGCCTGCTTCGCGTTCGCAGAGTCCGTAAAATAATAAAAGAGTTTTTACGCATCGTTCCCTAAGCAATCATAAGTTGTAATTATTTATACATATTGTACATAAATAACTGAATCGCGCTAGAAACGCGGGAAGAACATAGTATAAGAAGACACGTTAATTTACGCGGTAAGATTTTAAAATTCAAATCCCGGACATGACGAACCGCGTCGAGATATATCGACTGTTCGATTTGACTTCGACTTGGTATTTCCCCGAGAATCGTTTAGTCTTTCTTTCGCAGCCGTACGCAGAAGGAAGAATTAACGTAAGTACGCTGAGACTGATTTCTCGATTTCATTGTAGAAATCTTTGCTTTATACATCTTTGACTTGCTTTCTTTAATACAAAAATCGCTCAGGTTCTGAGAAATACTGTTACAAGACGGGTCTGTTATCAAACGATCAAAATAAATAGTATAGTTAACAGATCCACGTGTGTACAGGTTATAGTATCGTCGACGCTTGGCCATGACGAATTCCGAACTAATAATAATGAAGTTAACAATGGAATATTTCATCGTTAGTAATTCTAGAGATAAGCGTATCCTTTTTTAGAAAATGTTTCACAACTATTCGAAATGTTACAGAATGGCGGACGCTGCTCCAGCCGCGCGTGGTGGAAGATTCCGTGGAGGATTCGGCTCTCGTGGTGGAGACCGTGGTGGTCCAAGAGGTAGAGGCCGTGGAGGCAGAGGAAGGGGTCGTGGACGCGGCAAGGAAGACAGTAAAGAATGGATTCCAGTGACCAAACTGGGTCGTCTGGTTAGAGATGGAAAAATAGAATCTTTGGAGCACATCTATCTCTTCTCTTTGCCCATCAAGGAGTATGAGATCATTGACAGATTCTTGGGAGTTGAATTGAAGGATGAAGTTTTGAAGATCATGCCTGTACAAAAGCAGACTAGGGCTGGACAACGTACACGTTTCAAGGTGAACTCATAGCCTATCCAATTTGCTATATGATTGTAATGTGAAATGGTAAAAACAAATTGGTTCAACAACATTGTTGTAATTTCCAGGCCTTCGTAGCCATCGGTGACTACAAAGGTCACATTGGTTTGGGTGTAAAATGCTCGAAAGAAGTAGCCACTGCCATCCGTGGTGCTATCATCTTGGCCAAACTTTCGGTTGTGCCGGTACGTCGTGGTTACTGGGGTAACAAGATCGGTGATCCACACACTGTACCTTGCAAGGTTACTGGCAAGTGTGGGTCGGTCCAGGTGCGCTTGATCCCTGCACCAAGAGGTACAGGCATTGTGTCTGCTCCTGTACCGAAGAAGCTGCTCCAGATGGCCGGTATCGAGGACTGTTACACGTCCGCGAGAGGATCAACGTGCACTCTTGGTAATTTCGCGAAGGCTACCTATGCAGCGATCGCGAAGACATACGCGTACCTGACACCTGACCTCTGGCACAACCAAGCACTGCGAAAGGCGCCTTATCAGGAATTCGCAGATTTTCTGTTCAAGAACCACAGAGTCGTGGGAGGACAAAGACCTGCTGAGGTTGTTTAAACATTCTAATAAACCTCCATGCGAGACTACCTAATAATGTTGTTCTTTATTCATCGATGACCTAATTTTTTCTAAAAGAAATTCAATTTTCTCTTGCGATACCGAACAAATCTAGGGTTTACATTATTTTCTTTTTGTAATAAGTAATATACATTATCAAAATCCTTAGGAAATGAACCGAATTTGTATCGAAGTTTCGTTCTTGCGCCTTTATTCTATACAAATATGCGTTTGTACAAGTATCCACTCCCTAGTAAGAGTTCTATAAATAAAAGGAAGTAGGATAAGTTGTATCAGTTATGTGGTATCCATGTCTTTAGAATTCTTGAACTGATCGTAAGCATTATTGAAAGTATCCATAGTATGATCACAGATCTTTTCAAAGTCCTGTAATCCTTTTCTTAAAATATCTACTGCTTTTCCTTTCTTAGCCTGAATCCTTAAGTAGATATTTCCCTCTGATGGATGATTGACGAAGCAAGCACAGAATTCCACATCAGGGCTGTATGAAAATATATATAATTGTTACAAAATAACTGGAAATTTTTAGATCGATCGGGAATAATTGTTTTGTAGTCGTACTTCTGTGTGATTACTGTTACTAAAGCATTTCCTAAAGTGTAACCTTCACCCATGAACACAAAAGTCTTGGATTGTTCGGATGATTGTTCACCAGCTACCTGTGAATAAAGTATTAATTAGGTATATCTTAACTACCAATTTTTATATATTAACGTCAACGTAGAGATTCAATCGCAAAATTCGAATGTATCGTACCTCTGCTAGTCTACCCATTTTTGCTCATCCGTTGTTTACTTTGTAAAAAGATTCTTGGGATCTATTTAAAATGTCACTTTGTTACTCATTATTAAAGTAAAGCAGTATTCATAATAATACCATGTGATCGTGGCTGTTTATGTACCATATATCAACACCCCTCACGAATTAAAGTGTAAATATATATAGATCGAACAACAATAATTTACACGAACATTAGTGTCTTTGAATATATTAATTAATAACACATTTTTCTCTGTTTTACTTAGACTCTTACTTTTTAATAAAAGAAATTCATAAATAAATATTCGGTAGCAGTTGTGTGCAACTGGTTACGATTCCACTACTGACTAAACATAACCCTTGAAGCCGATAACAAATCTAACCTTGTTTAGAATTGAGAATTGAATACTCGATTTCATCTATGGTGGACTTCGTCAATTTAAACAGGAAAGTTCGATAATTCAATGAATTAGGTAAGACAATTAAAGATATAATGTTCAGTAATATATCTTCTTATTTTACATTTCGCCATTACGTTATTACGATCAGTAATAATTATGCTATGCAGGATAAATAAAAGGCAAAGGAAAATTGACTAAATGCACAAAATGTCTTTAAGAACGTTAGTTGCTAATGTACAGTTGACAACAAAGATTCAGAGTATTATTGGGAGAAGATGCTTCACATCCAAATCGGTGGATGAACTTCTTGAAACTACTGAAGAAGAGCCAGTATTTTTGGAGAAAACAAGTGATATAGAACACAAGAGAAATAAATCCAGACTGACCACAGCTCATAGAAACATGTTATTCGGTCGAAAGCCTCACGATGAACCATACATGTGGTTTCATCAGACAGTGAAATACAAAAGAAGAATGTTAGGTAGGTATGGTATGGAGGCAGTGGGAGCACCCGCAGGATTGTCTTGGCCTACACGCGAAGAAGTGGAAGATGCTAAGGAATACGAAAGAGTTGCGTATCCGCTTACTATTCAGGAAAGCTGGCAGAAGTTCAAGGAAGATCGTAAAATGAGGGAAGAAGCTACCATGGCTAGGTAAATTGAATTGTACTCAAATTCTCGAATTGTAATATATGAACTATAATTATATTTATAGGCAGAATGCGATTGAAGAAAAAATGTATAACATGAACGATTTAATAGTCTCGGTAAGACAGAGAATTGCGAAGAGACAAGCAGAATTGGAAGAAGCTAAACAGAAGAAGGAGCGCCGTTTGAAAGAGATCCGACGTGAATTAAGTGCTCAGGGTATTGTGACTAACGAAAAGATTGAAATGATGTTAGAGAAATACGAGAAGGAAGACAAGAAAAAGAAGAAACAAGCGAAAAAGCAAAAGCTTCTCGAGAGACAGCAGAAATTGTTAGAGAAGATTAAGTTGATGGAGCAACCTGAAGCGGAGAAAGTAACGGAAACATCTTCGCAAAACAAGGAAGCATCACCAGAAGTTGAAGAACCTAAAAAATAAATATTGTAACCAAACAATTGTATATCGGAATAATTTCTATATGGTTAGTAAAAGGTACAATTCAAAAGGAAAGAAACCGATCATACTTAATTACTGTTAAAAAGTACGGAAACGTCGAATTAGAAGCCGAAACAGATGAAACCTTAAACAGAAGAATAATATTTACACCTCATAGTAAATATTATATTTTCTTTTGCTAATACAAAAAACGTTACATATTACTCTGTAAGAGCTACAAGAAACTATACTAATGTGTAGTATTAAATGACTCGATAAGACACGTATTCAGGCACAATTAGGGGCAATAGCATGCTGCATTCCTCTTCGAATTCCAGTTCCCGAGGGAACCTCCTTAGAAATATGTTTCACAACCGTCTGTGATAGTTTCTCTTGTATAAATCTCGCGGCTGCATTTATCATGAAAGAAGTCAGCTCTCGACTATCGTGGATGGATCAGAGTTCTCGGTATCATTTTCGACTAGCAAGGACGATTCACCATTGGCTCCTACGTCCCGAGACTCGTTCCCTTCAATGGCACTGTGGACCTCCTGATCATCAATGACCTTCACCTGATTGCAGTTCTCTACATTTTGTACGTGCAGCTCGTCGATTACTATCAAACGCAGCTTGTTCTTCTCCATGTGTCAGGCAGATTGGAGCTGGGACGGGGAGGACAGTTCGTAAAACTGAAAGTTTAACTCTTCGCCGAACAGATTCTCCGGGGTTATGATCTCTGGCTCCACCATGTTCAGGCCCAGGGTCGCTGGATTCAGATCGGTGACTAAATATCCCTCGCTTATCAGTCCACACTCCTCTGCAACCACCTCTTTGGACACTGGATTCAGGAAGTCTGGAGAAAGCACAAGTCACTACTCTCGTTGTCTTTCTCATATGTAGACACGGATCACTTAACCTGATCAATAATACCCTTACCGCTTTCTTTCACAGGATAATGGAGCTGTTGCGTTTGCTGGTCAGTCTGTGTTGAATTGTTGTTGGACATCATCATTGGGACCAGATACTGTACCTCTACCTCCTTTTTAATACCGCTGAGTATTTGTTCTGCGCAGTGCTCCAAGGTTACAGAGCTCACTATGGTCTCGGTCTCCTCTTCTGTAGCTGGTTGAGTAATGCTCGCGGTTGCTGCCTCCACTTCGTCTATAGGATTCATGTGACTGAAAGAAACCACAATTTTAGCGAGTGATAATTGTTTTACACGATGTCAGATGTTATTCAGACGCCACATTAGAGTACCTGATGGTTCTTCGAGGATTCTCGGTCTCCATAGTGGTCTTGACGATTTGTTTCACAGAAGGATTAGCAATCTGTCTGGGTCTAGTGTCTGTGCAACGGTTCGCGATGGCCCACAGGTGTCCAGCCCCATGTGGGGCCTTCGAACCCTTCCGGAAGTGGGGGTTTATCGAGAGATTGTGCCGCACGGAGTTCTTCCAGCGATCGTCGTTGCTCTTGTAATAAGGGAAATGTTCACTGAAAGAAAATCGAGAATATTATCCGCTAATTGTTCAAAGTTTCATCGAAACGAGACTTAAGGCGATCTACATTTATCTGTCCCGTAAGTCCCCTCCTCCAATTTCCATAATGACGAACGATTAAAAAGTTTCTCCAGTTTACCCAGTCACTGTCCATGAAAATGTCGATTAGCCTACAACCCTTCGTCCCCTTCCCCCCGACACACAGGAATAATTTTCTTCACCTGTTCACGGCGATGTCGCGGAGCGTTACGCACCCCCATAATTAATTCCCCGTTCTCGACAGCAGAGAACAAGAGAACTCGGGAGGGTTCAACGGCACCAATAAACGCTCCGCTGGCCACGAAAAAAAATTCACCCCCTATTATCCTAAACTAATCTTCGTTTCCACGAACACCAGCCCTATTTCGGTTAAATTTAAAGATTGCAATTCTATCGGGGAATTGCATATTCAGGATAATTATTTGTCCCAAGGTTGGAACCATTATGGAATCATTTTCGTTTATGGAATGAATTGTGACGTTTGTGAAATGGTACCGATTCCAAAGATTTAAGAGGTATGAGACTAAATATGACGATGTTTCCAGCGAGGAATATATATAGGGAATGGAGGTTTCTACGAATTTACGAGTGGTTTGGCGTCGATGCCGGGCGGTCCGTGCGAGGGTGGGTTAGGAAGGCTCCTTAGATGGTACCCCTTGGCACCGCAGCCCTCCCGACACGGCGGTACCACCTGGTACCGGGCTCTCTCTGTCTCTCCTCGACGCTGCAACCCCCCCGACACACACACACGAATGGCGCACAATTTACCAGCCCCTGTGTGGCTTTCACCTGTTCGATCGTGGGCTATGCTGCTCGTGAAAAACGAGATAGTCGAGCCCCTGAACTCCTTCCCGGCCAATTTCCTATTACCGTTCGCTAAATGATTCCCGTTAACAAGACGCCAGCAACAATCGACGATCCTCTGAATAATTAAATTCACTTTTCTCGTTCTTTCTTTTCTGCCATCTCTTCGATTTGATTCATCATCCAGGAATATTGTAAACAACAGGTCGTCGTGAAAAACCTTGACACGGTTTCGTTCAACATGAAGAGAACAGTTACGGAATCCTCGGGGATATCGAGACTTTAACGATTCGGAAAATCGTGGTAAAAGGTATAATCTGATAAGGGGGTCAAAAATTAGATAATCAGATAATTTTTCTTATTACTACCCTCCTGGTCGAAGTAGAGGGTTCAAAATTGGTACATATATCGAATGGTATGTCACGAGTTCGAATCGGTCCAAGGGCACTTTTGACCCCCTTATCTTCTATAGAATGGACCTTCGTTTTACCCTAGACTATTTAGGATATTCTTGGTGCAGAGGGGTGTCCAAGCGATAAAACTATTGTGCATTGTGCCAAGAAAACCTAAAAGGATCGTCGTGAAGCAAACAGAAGAGAGCCTGTGAAACATTCTTCGAAACGAGCACTTACGAAATCCATTGATAAATGGCCGAGACTGTTAGCTCTCCCCTTTCTCGGAGAGCGTGTTCAATTAGCTCCGTGTAGGTGAAGGGCGGTTTTTTGGGCCCGTTGCAACGGGACGACGGTATATTTCGGTTGTCCAACGTTGAATAAGTCGGACTGGCGTCCTGTTGCGACGAACCGTTGTCGTTGTAACTCCTTCTGATGTCGTTCACGTAGGCGGATGTATAGGACCGTCCGTTTACTTTCGTCTTGCTTCCTGGAACAGAAGATCGAATATCAACCCAGATATCACATGACGCCTTCATGACGGCTTAAAGACGCCTTATACCTCAAACAGCGGTAAAATGGGCGTTTTCAAGGCGTCATGTGCTATCTAGGACAAAATTTCTGTAATGTTCAAGTCGTTTAAGACGATTAGAGCCTGCTCAAACTTCTTAAACCATTACCTAATAGGTTTAGTAGATCCAAAGATCCAAGGAACGATTGTACATTAACAATTTCTTTAACCCTGATCCACGAAATAAATTAATAAACTTCTGATCTATTAACACTAAAATCTTACAGGCCAATTAATAGGCCACCGGTTAGTAAACTGTTAAGAATCCCCAATTTCGATCAGTATCCCCATTCCTAGAATTCAACACCCTCCAACGAAGGAATCACACACCGTTATGGTTGTCCCTGAATGTGGGTGCAGTCGATTTATCGTCAGCAGCCTCGATGAAAGAGTCCAGCTTGAAGTCCAGCAGCCAGGACAGGTTCCCAGTCTCCTGATCGTCGAACGGTTGCTGCTGATGGTGGCTATTGGGGTGGCTATTGGCCAGCTTGTTCTGTTCCAGATTGGCGGCTGGAACTGACACGACCGGTCCCCAATAACTCGGATCCACCTGGTAGCTTGTCTCCTCGATCTGAACGTCCTGGACCACGTGCTGTTGCCTGGTGTGCCCGGAAGGCGAGCTGGGGGACGTTTCAGCGATGCTCTGCTGGGCCTCCAGCTCGGAAACGGTGGTCCATGTGTAATTCGTTCCGTCTACCAGAAGAACCTCCAGCCTAGCCATTGGACATTCCTCTATTGCTTCTTGGCTGGATAACGGGGTGAACAATCCCGCTGTGTCGCCGATCACCTGATTAGAGGCGACCAATTCCATTGGGGTCTCGATCTCTTGGAGATGGTAACGCTTCCGACCGTTCTGGACCTCCTCGCATAGGCTCTCTATGTCGAGATCGTCGAAGACACGCTTCTTCGTCGGACGGGGCTGGTTGTTGGACACCTCGTGATCCGGTATCCCTCCGGCGCCCGAGGACGGTCCGATCATTGTATTTCTGGAAGGGCCATTTTTAAGTGGATTTCACAGTCTGTATGTAATTTTTTGTTAGTAGACCAGGGTTTTGTTTTTTAATGTGGAGCAGACTCGGATTATGATTTTCTGGGGCCCAGGGCTATTAGATCTTCGGGGCCCCCTTGGTTGAAAAGAGGACTTTTTGTAATACAGCACAGTTAAATACATAAATCTTCAAACATTGAAATTTATTTTGGATAAAATTAAATAACATTTATTCATAACGAAATGGAAGGAACGGAACTAAAACTTTTTGCGTTTTTAATTGCAGACGAAATATTTGGCCAGAAAATTGTCAACCAGTTAGGGAAGATTTTTTTTACTGCCCTAAATCTTTGAGTTCTTCTAAATCCTATGAATTGTTATAAATTAAGTAAACAAACATATTTTCTTACAGTTTATATGTTGAATTGAAAATATGATATTCGGTTCTTGTGGGCGAAACCATCCCCTAAATGTTAATTGTGCCTTTTCCTATTTTCCTAATTATCTCGAAAACTATGGCCAATTTTGAAAAACTGTTGCAATGGAAATTTAATGGATTCTTATGCTCATCAAAAGTGTACGATGAAATTGTTAAAATTTGTTTATTTAAACAAGTTTTTAACATATTCATTAGGAATCCATTAAATCTTCATTTTAACAGTTTTTTTTATCGCTACTATAATTTTCAAGCTATACAGGAAAAAACACATTAACTTCTATAGGGGTGATTTCACCTTGAAGAACGGAATATCAGAAAAAACTAGAAGGTGCACGATATTTCAACTGAGGTCCCCTATAAACCTACAAAATTAAAAAAAAAATCGGAATTTTCGGAGTAACGAGCTTCCCTTACAAGCATAATCAGGGATCGCACAGTAAATATTGCAAAAATGTCCGATAATACAGACATAAAATTAAACGTAACCAGTGATAATGTACACCGATACCGATCACACTCCAAAATTGCAACAAACTACGTAAAAACACCAGCAGTGCCAACCATCCAAGGGCATCCCAAGTGGAATCCAAAAATAAGAATAAAACACGAATAAAAGTGTCACAAGGGTCGAACCCGATCGTTGAACAGCAAAAAAGTTCCACGCCAAGAATAATTAGAATCAGAAACACATCCGTTCACCTCGACTCCCTGTCTTGATCTCGGTGAACTTTAGTACCGATTATCTGGCGACGTGAAGGATCGTCGAGAAAACAGGTGAAACTATCATCACGAGGTCCTGCTGTCAGCGAAAAAACGACCGGTAAACGATATCGGGTGTCTCATCGATGCCCGTGCTCCGTTTTCTTCGACGGCGAGGAGCGAACCGTACGCGACTGTTATCGGAAGCACTTGTGACCGATGGGTGGCGATTGCTGCACGATTCACTGTGGTTTCATCGTTGGACTGGATCACTGTACGTTCACGATCACACACTGCGATTGACGGTTTCGTACGCGGGGCCGGTGAGCTTCCACTTTGTAAAACGGTATCACCCTGCCGATCAGACGATTTCGGAATATCTACATGATCAACTTCGGACCGCGACTGTGTCTTGTCTTTCGTATTTCAACTATTACGCGGCGCGATGCGCGCGCATCCGCTGCGGTGGTGGGGACTTCGATGCGCGCGCAACGTTCGCGGCTAGGTACGTATCCGGGCGCGCTTCAATTTTGAATTTCAAATTGTATTCGAATGAAACGTTATTTAATTGTACCAGCAATTACCTTCGAATGCTCGTGAATTACTCTACCGAGGACACGCGATTTTCTTCTAAATTGTTCTCTAATTGTTCTAAATAATCGTAATGTAAAATAAATACTTTAGTAACATAAATTAGGAGAAAATGTTCCTTCGTACTATTTTTATTAATTTTAATAACATAACGTACATGATTTGTACCCAGGAAATTAACTATACCTATGTAACCGTAAGTCCCTATTAAGACAAAATTTATAAGTTATATGATTCATATGGATAAATGCTAGCAAAAGCGTTTTGTTTGTGCATGCTTTTACTGAACCAGAAATGTAAATATAATTTACTAATGAAAGTATAAATTTCGTTCCTTGTGAATACATTTACAAGCCAGATTAGCAAGTGCATGTATTGACTAGGAAATGTATACATTTACTAAAATAACGTTTTTATTGCACATAACATATTCGAAAAGTTCTGGGAACGGTCAAGCACTGCCCCTAGATCGTATGCAACCGGCGATGCACGGGCGCAAGGTGGCGGATAAACGGACGAGTCGATTTCGCGAGTGTTCCTCGCCGACGATTTTGCGTATCTCTGTTTATCAGCTGTAACAAACTCCCGACATCAGCAGCGGCGCGTCCCAAGGTCAAGGTGACACGCGTCACAAAGGGAACGGGGAAACGAGCCAGAATCGCCACGATTACACGGACTGTACTGTTCATAAGATCATCGCGTGTCTCGCGGTGTTTCTCGCTGTGAGTGTACTTGTGGGGGATCCATGCACTCGTTGCGTACAGTTGAACGTCACCCACGGATGACATTTAAAATTTCTGGTTAAAGAGCCCGCGACGATAGAGAAAAAAACAAAAGGTTGGAACGCGTTTCGGAGTCACGTTACATGGGGCATTGAACGGTCGACCGAGGATAACGCATCATGAACGTGGACAACGACTTGGATCAGCATTTATTGCGCGAGTTCAGCTGTCTAGGGACCACCGATAAGGACGACCTGGTGAAACAGCTGCAGAGCATGCTGGCTGGTAGCCAGCTGAACGAAACTACCGCCAGGTTCTTCCTCGATATGAACAACTGGTGAGACATTCTCCATCGAGACACGCCGTTTTATACAGCGACGATCGAAACCTCCTCCGTCTGCGACCTAACCCTACTGTCGCCATGTTTATACTTGTTGGACAATATACCCCTCGAAAGCTGAACTGATCTGGCCAACAAAGAAAACACTACGAACCAACGATATCATACGCGTTGTAGATTCAATTTTAACTATCAGATAACGAATGTATATAGCATATTTTATGGTACAACCATTTTACATACTTAGATACGAATAGATTAAAAAAAGTACTGAAAGTAAGTTTTGTATATAGAGAGTTCAGTTCACTGATTCAATTTCCCGCAAGGAAAATTTCTTTAAAGAAGCCTGGTTGGGTCTTTAGTTTTGTTGCATTAATAGCTTCTTAGCATACTTTGTTCAATAATTATGCGAGAAGTTCAGATATGTTATCTTAACTCCATTACTAATCTATATTCTCGGACACAATGCTTTCCTGCTCTTATTGATTGTGTTGTTATTCCAATATCGAGTTCAGTGATCTTTTAAGGTAGTTGATATGTTGAATTAAGCATGAACACGAGTGATACCTTTTAGAACCCTTCGACCAGGTGTTTTTTTCAGGAGATTAACATTTTTATAAGATAAAGTTAACTGCTTGGGAAGCAATACAATACGGCTGATTTTCTGTCGTTAAAGGTAATTCCCGTTCGTTTGCAGGAACCTCCAGGCAGCCATATGTAGTTATTTCGACTTCGAGTCTCCGTTTAAATTACCTTGCATGACGCTGATACGTGACAGTACGATCGGCGACGGAGAGTCAGTGCCACCTAACACGAAATTTCGAAAGTCATGGCAGGTGCAAAACAGTGGGACAGAAGCTTGGCCTGATGGAATCTGTTTGAAGTTCACCATGGGAGTAATAATGGGATGTACACGTGTACCGGTTCCATCTTTGGGTCCTAAAGAGACAACGGAAGTGAGCATTGAGCTCACAAGTCCTCCTGTTCCTGATTTGACCTATCAGAGCCAATGGAGGATGATGACATCTACAGGTTCTTATTTCGGTGGTGAGTCTCCATACATTTTATTACTGGTTGCATACCTTTGTCAGATCTCCATTGTCGTAATCATTTATCTGTTTTGTTTAGATATCATTTGGGTGATTATTACAGTGAGTGAATGTGGCACCTTAGCGGTTACTCAGCAACTGCATCAACTAAGTACTTCACAGTCTAACGATGTACAAATGTGTTAGCCCTTGATATCCAGAGACTTCCTTTAATTTTTTTTTTTTTTTTTTTTTGAGAAAATGATTATTTTAAATCGAGCGAGTGAAAACGGTGCGACTTGTTTATTTAAAACAGTTGCTTTCAGTGATAGGTGAATAATTTTCTGCTAGACACACTAAAAAAAAACGATATTTCCAACAGACGTTCGAATGATTTAAGGAAGTACTGGATTCAAATATTGTATAGAAATAATTGTAATTTTGTTAGATTCGAAAGTTGTTTACATAAGGCCTTTTAACGTCCATGCTTGTCGGTTACGTCCTCGAAATGTTCTCTTTCTCTCTCTGCTTTGTGAGTGTAGTATGAATTGTGATGAAACATTTATGATTTTCACTTGCGAAAACTTAAAAGCTGTAACAGACACGTATGGACCACATTCGAAACCGGTACTGAAAGAAATTGATATATATATATAAATATATATATGTACAATTACTAAGATACGAGTTTATTAAAAGCATAATTTTTATTAGAAAATAAAGATATAGATATGGATAGAAACTGTGAAAAACAAGTTGGATCATATTCATTCACCAATTCAGAAACCAAATTGGAGCTGCTTACTTTATTGAGAGATTCTATGCTTCAGAAATATCGTACGAATGATTATTGTTTATTCGAACGATTAAACAGCCATCGTCATCGAAATTTTCGCGTATGGATTATAGCCGATCAATTCAAAATCGTCCGCGACGAAGTCGTCGATATTTTCAACGCTCCTGGTTATTCTCAACTGTGGAAACGGTCTGGGCTTGCGTTTAATTTGCTCCTCAAGTCCGGATATATGATTAAGATACACGTGACAGTCGCCCATTGTATGTACAAATTCACCTGGCTAAGAATAAACAAGAAATTATAAGTTTCCGTTGAAAATTCATGGATCTGTTTTTGCGTGAATATTATAAATATACCTTTAAGTTTGTAATGTGTGCCAGCATGTAAGTCAACAGAGAATAGGATGCTATGTTAAAAGGTACTCCAAGACCCATGTCAGCGCTTCTTTGATAAAGCTGACAGGACAGCTCGCCGTTGCTAACATAAAATTGAACGAGACAATGGCATGGGGGTAATGCCATCTGTGGAATGTCAATTGGATTCCAAGCTGACATAATGATTCTTCTGTTATTCGTAGAATTCTTTATCTTATCTATGACATCCTTCAATTGATCTATGCCTGTTTATAAAATACTTACCATTACAATACCAATGAACTTCAAATGAATCAGTACCTTTGTACTTAGGGTTTACCTTGATTTGTGTAATCTGAGTGCATATCGTTATACTTTGCACCAAAGTGTCTCCACTGAAATCCATAAACAGGTCCTAAGTCGCCCTCTTCTCTATCTGTAAAGCCGCAAGAGTCTAGAAATTCACGCGAGCTATTTGCATTCCAGATATTAACATTTTTAGCTGACAGTTCTTTAGCATTTGTTGATCCCTTTATGAACCATAGTAATTCTTCGACAACTCCTTTCCAAAACACCCGTTTTGTAGTTAATAATGGAAATATATCTATTAAAAAAAAACAGTTAATTCATTTATCATTGTTTATCTAACTATTATATTGCAGACGTTTATACAAATATAAAATTTTATAGTTTAATTTATAGAAACTAGAATTGTAGAACAACATTTGTTTACTACACTCAACGGTTCTATGAGAACTTAAAACTATAAAAAAAAGACATCAACAATACTTAAAATGCATAAAATTCATAATCCAGTAATTGCTGTTATCAATGTGTAATAAATTATCTTACTATCTTGTAAACTGAATCTCATGTGGGACCCAAAAATGGACATTGTACCCACCCCCGTACGATCACTTTTTTTTGTTCCATTTTTGATGATCTTATCGATTAAATGTAAATACTGATACTCCTCGTGTTGCTTTTGATCTTGAACACATTTTTCTGCATTTCCATTTGTCAATTTATACACGCATTCTTTACCGTTAGCTGTTGGAATTACTTCATGTTCACTCATGATTTAACAACAATTTTTTTAGCAGTAGTTTAACAGATTCTTTGGGTTATAAGAAATTGTGAAAATTATATGAAACCAGGTTGTGAAAGACATCAATGACGCCCGAGCATAATGGTGGTCCTTCTGGTTTTGGGAGTTAAATAACACAAAACACGCTGGAAATAATGCAAAAGTAACAACAAACACAATAGTATATGAAAAAACAGTAACGTGAATGCTAAATTGTATCCAGTCGTTCTTTCTGTTTGGTTAAAACTCCTATAACTTCACCATTATCAATTAATGTAAACATGAAATTCAAACGGCTTAATCTGTTACAGAGACATTTGAAACGACATTATAAGATAAATATATCATTGAAATATTGTTATGAATTCTTTTTGTATTAAATAGGATCTACTATATATTCATCCTTATTAAAAACATAAAATTCGTAACAAGCGACAATTCTTTGCTAGAGAACAGTGACGCTTGAAAAAAAATTGAATGAAATTTTGCCACTACTTCCTTTTTTGAAATAATTAGAAATGCATTAAAAGTAAAAATAAATTGGATCAAAGTTGTTAAAATATAACGAAGCATTGTTCGTTATAATTAAATGTTATTTAATTTTATTTAGGATAAATTTCAATTTTTGAAGATCTATGTATTTTACTGTATGTTTTATTACAAAATTTCCCCCCCCCCCTTTTTTTCAACCAAGGTGGCCCTCGAAGGTTTGATAGTTCTGGGCCACGAAAAATCTTAACCGGGCTGGAATCGTTGTTCAAAAATGATTAATTAAAAAATATACATAAGAAATACGCATATTACAAATTTATAAACATTTGCAAAATATTTATTCCTATTTATGTGATATTTTTTCATCATATTTGGATAATTTGATCATAAATGCGACATATTTGTATTTTCATCATACCGGTTATTTAAACTTGTTATATAAAGAAAAAAAAGGCAATTTCATGTTTGTACGTTTCATCGGAACGAGCCAATAGTGTTTCTTCGTGGAAGCGTAGAAAATACAGTGCTGTTGCACGTTACACGTCGATGGTTCAAGGTTAATTAGCATTGATCATTGATGACGTTTCGTAAAATTTTGACAAGAATCGATAATAATGGTGTTTGACAAATTAAATACTTCCGTGTTGAAGATCATCGAACCGTATAGAAAATGGGCCATAGAAAATCCAAAGTTACTGACGGATTTGGAAGAAACAGTCCAATGTTTATCTTACTTCACAGCTGGTTAGAAAAAAGAATTATCCTTCTTTTTTTTTAAACAATATCCTGTTTTCTTTTCGACATTTTCAAAATAAATAAGTTCATTCTAGGTCGTTTCAATAATTCTACATTGACATCGGAGCTTATTTATTCCCTATCGAACCTGATAGTACTGTGCAATGATTTGTTGATGTGCAGTGGAAAATGTTTGCATTTAAAGTTTCCCCAATTCAAGTCGAAGATCAAAATTTGGCTGACTGTCGTGGAATATACAGAAACTCTGTTCGAGATATCTGCTAAAAAGATATGGGGACCATCTGGAAGATGGTTTATAGTCATTGTAATACAAGTGTTTAAGTGAGTATTTACATTTATGACTCCTAGGGAAACGCATACAAAGATGATATACAGAGGGTGCTTCATAATGTAGGGGACCGATATTACGTTTGTATGTATTTTTATCAGGACTGTGTTACGATTATTATTGATACATGTGTACAAAGAAAAGGTAATAAAGAGTCCTCCATTGAAGCCACTTAATAGAAATCAGTTGAACGAGTCTGACGAGGAGAAGTTGAAAGAAGGATTTACACTAAAACGATCGGGCACTGTTGTCAGGAGTGTAAGGGGTTCAAATTCAACACACATGCGCACATGGGAACCTCTGTCGTCTAATGTTAAGGATAATCTGAACAGTTCACCTGTGTCAGAAAGAAACATCGCTTTAGCAGAGGTAAACCATTGTACAGGAAATTACAAATTATTATCAGATATTAATTGTTTTTTTTACTTTATTACTTTGTCTTGTGTTTAAGAGTCTGTATGTCATGAAACCACTGTTCCACTTGGGCTGTATATCTTTAACTGGGGAGAAACAGTGGCCACCATGGCTATTATCACTAGCCATTGATCTGTTTAGGTAAATAGTTATCGTTAACAGGATAGGAAATCGAAATTATAGAATAATCTGAGAATACTCCTTTCTTTTTCTAGTTTAAAAATATTCAATAAGGAAGTCAAGAAAGCTGTTTCGCTTAGTAAAGAGGATGAACGAGAATTATACAAAAGAAGATTGGCTCTGTTGCTTTACATTTTGAGATCTCCGTTCTACGACAGATGCAGTCGTACTAGAATATACGCGATCCTTACTGCATTATCCAATAACGTGCCCCTTGCTAAGTTTATAGCAGAGCCAATAAAACGATATCTTCCACATTGGCAGAGCACATACTTCTATGTGTGGTCGAGTTAGTTCACGAAATTATGATACACTTTTAAAAGTCTGGGAATGAGGGTACGAAATGGAATTCATGAGTATAATGTTTATATTAAAGGGTAACTGGAACTACAAAGAAAAAATGATTTTAATTTAACGGATGAATTCATTGTTAAAAATGACGTACAAGTCAACGTACTTTATTTATGGAAACGAAGGTGCAGGTGAAAAAAAAGTAAATCTTATTATTTTGTGTAGCATTTATGAATTTATAAATTACTATATTTTAATCGTTAGAAAAGTTACAAATGCTTCCCTAACTTGGTATTAGAAACAACAAAGAAGCACATGGAATGGTTTATAGCATTTTATGACGTTCTACTGCCTTAAGAACGTATATTAGTCTAGGTTCAAACATTCGTTTATGTCCCTCAACACACAAAATTGAGAATATACGCGTATATTTTTTATATTGTTATATATATTTTTATAAAGAATAAAATTTGAAAGATTTTTTTTTAACGAAAGTAAAACCACTTCATTCCATTTCTTTTATACAATACACAAAAGACTGCAGCTACTCGGATCACGCATGATTGTATTTACAATAAATAAAGAAGTAGAGGATCAATAAATACAGGAAACATTATAAGTGGTACTTTCTTAGAAAATATATTTCCCTGCCCGATAAAGTCTTATGAATTTCCTTATTAAAGTTACTGAATGTTACGATACCATAAAATGCATGGCAATAGATTGCAAATATATATTACATTTCGAAAGGAATACAGCGTAGCAGAAAATACAAATATGGCCTTTGGAATTAAATAGAATAATCAGCGTTAAAAAAACTACTTATTCACACATCTGGAGCAATGAATTTATAGTTACATCTTTCTTCCCATTATTCGCATCGTAAACAGACTTAATTACTTCCCTATCGACGTTCGGGAACATTTCTGAAATCTGTAATCGATATTCGCATATGTTACGCTGTTACTAATAATAATATTATGCATGCTCAATAATATCGACGATCGATCATAGCTCGTGTATTACCTGTTTCAATTGAATCTCAGCACTTGGCATAGCACTGGGCACAGTTGATGGTGCAGTAGCTACAGGTGGTGTTGTGTAAACGTTCACTGATGAACACTTTCTCATACCATACCTTCTCGAAGAAGGTACCATCATAATTGGTGGTGCACTCACATACGGATGAACCTTGGTCTATTGAAATTAAATGAACCATTAACGAAATGTCCTACATTTTCTTTCTGTCGCATCATTAACATTCTTTACCGTATAACTAAAAACTAGATTTATCATTCCCTCCTGGTAGTCTCCTTGCTTTCCACTAAGCATGTACCAATCCTCATGCGTCTCTCCATTCTGAAGGACCTGAGGTGGAATGTCTATGTGGCCCCATGCTATCAACTCATCCATGACGAAGGAACACTCGTCATAAATTTCTACATATATTCGTGTAACTCCTAGTGGTAAACAACTACAATAATAGAAATAAGATATATATACAGTAAGTAGAAAATGTATTTGGAGATGCATGTAGTCTCCTCGTATTGTATACCATTGAATCACTTTGTTCCAATGTGGATTCTTTGCTCCATTTGAACATGTGTGTGTCTCATAAACTGCATGGCCTACTCTCAGTCGTACGTAAGGATCCATTCTGGTCATCCCATAATTTTTGACTAGATTAGCCTACAGGAAGTATCTTTTTGAAATTACGAATAAAATGTTATTACAAAATATACGCACATCAAATCAAAAGGATATACCAAAATATGCAGACGAACAGGAAAACCATCAGATTACCTGAACAATTGTTATACCAAGTCTACCAACATGTGGCTCGTGCACCGCAGGCGCGTTTTGCATCTGTAATTGATGAAGTGCAAGCGCAGCCTGTTCATCTGCAGCCTCTTGTTGCTGTTGGACACTGCGTTCCTCTACTCTAAGGAACCCCTGAGGAAGAGGGCCCAGAAAGGCCTAGAAAATACATTCTTTCTTTTACATACTGACAATTTACAAACAATCCTGGATAATTGTGCAGACAATCAAAAGCACTATGTTCGTTTCAAAATATTGACATTTCATTTGAACACTAATGACAAATTATATTGCTATTTGATAATATTATAATATTACTAATATGCTTTCCATTCGATTGATTTAAAGGGAATTGCAACATCTTCCGGTACATTATGGTCATTACGATATTGTCAACATGAATTGCACTATTTACCCGTTTCTTCCATTCTTCGTATAAATCCGTTCGTCTTTCGGTTTCCATTACAATGTACTAGAAACTTACGACGAAATTAAAAAATTCTTCTATGCTCCTGTATACAACTACTTTCACAACGCAAATGAAACCTGTCAAACTACACGAATTTTTTTACTAATCGAAATAATCATAACACACATATGATACGATGACAGCACGCCATCTTAGAGAACTGTCGCAAAAAGAGGTCGCGGATGAAAATGAGCGCTTTTTGAACTTAATTTTTGAAGTGAATATTCAGATTTTTTGCTCAATACAGTTGAACAGATTGCCCGAGTATTAGGACAGTCTTTCGTCCGCCATTTCTTAAAAAGAATTTGTTCTTAAATTGCGAATCTTCGAATATCATTGAATCGAATAAAATTCACCCTTTAAATTGAACGTTTAAGGTCGAAAGAACAGAAATTCTTATGTGCCTGCCGCTTTTCCAAATTGCTTTTTCTATTAAAATTCAATATATTTAAGATGAATGGATGCAAGAAGGTCGTAGAACATGAGGGGTTCTTGGTCTGCTATTTTCATAAAAGAAAATTGCTACAAATATATTTATACAAATGTCATCGAATGGAATGAAATTCTCTTCTTAAATTAGAATTTGAAACATTTTATTACAGATTCGAATGACAAAATAAAAAAAAGACATTATGACAAAATAAAAGCTTAAGGTCACGTAAAGGTCATGAAGTTATCCACCCCACGCCTATCACATTTATTCAGAGCTACGATGAATTGTACGACCGTTCTTAAATTTAATTATAGAACAATAGAAACGTCCATATTTAACTACTGAAGATATTTTTTCTGCATTTAATACTTAAATTTTAATGAGCAACCTATGACGGGCAAAACCTCACCAAGGGCAACAAGTATAAAAAATATAATTTTAAAAAGAGAAAAAATCACGTCCTTAAACGCTGTCTTTACGGCTGTCTTCACCAGTAGATATTGTTTGGGACATCTTTAGACACCTTGTCATGATGATTTGGGTCTCGAGCTCGAGCCACATCGTCACTGTGATTAGTAGAATGTCGGTGTGGAGTCACAAATTACATAGGGCACAACTTGGCACAACTTACCATACTTGTTAATATTTGATCTATAGTAATAAAAAAAGATTTTTAACGATATGGGAAGGCTAAAAATGTACGTAAATTAAAAAGTTCACATTGAAAAAAAGAGTGGCAAAAGAGTGGGAGGAGGGGAATCTTGATTGAACTGAATGAAATTTATTTGTCGTAAAAACCCGCGCGGTGGCCATTTTGCAATTGAGGATGCAATTATCTGTCTCTTTTGGTCTGCTCGCTGTTATCTCCGTCTTTTTTATTGAAAAAAATCACAGAGCGTGAAATATATTCGAAGTATCCTTGACAGGTCGTTCCGTCCGCGTTCACCACCGTGACGTTCTGATTCTAAACAGAAATAACTCGAGAATATTCATCGGAACGAGTCGATCTGGTAGGTATTCCTGATTTTTGATTCATTCGAGATTTTTTCTTTCTCTCCCGTTCTCATCTCATTTACACGCTCTGTTTGTAGTGGTAGTTCTTCCGCGACAGATCTCCAGAACGGTTGCGTGTTTTACCATAATTTTCAACGAAAGAAGATACCCAACGAACTATTTTTGAATCATGTCACATCAGACGGGAATCAAAGGTACCTATTGCGTGTCGTACTCTTAAGGATTGAAACTTTTCAATATTTCATTGAATCTATAACCTCATTTTCGCGACAACGTCGCCGCTCACAATGATCTGTTTATCGTAGCGAATGATTCACTCAAGAAGCTGTTTGCCAAATGCCGCGATGGCAAGATACGGGTTTTGAAAGTTTCCATAGAAAATGGTAAGTACCTTTGTTAACGCTTCCACCGAAACAGACTCACAGAAAGTAATCATCGGACTGCAGACTTTTAAGGACCTATTTTGTATGCTTTTTATCTTGCAGAGGAATTAACTCCTGCTGCTTCCTCCAAGCCTGCGAACAAGTGGCAGGATGATTATAATAAAATGATCAAGCCTCTGATTGTCGAGAATCAGCCTGCATATATTCTTTATCGTCTTGACACCAAATCTTCGGATTCTGGTTATGACTGGTTGTTCATATCATGGTCCCCTGATACAGCACCGGTCAGGCAGAAAATGCTTTATGCATCGACCAAAGCTACCTTGAAGCAAGAATTTGGTACAGCTTCCATAAAAGAAGAATTGCACGGGACTGTGCCCGAAGATATAACTTTGGAAGGCTATCACAAGTATAAAAGGAACGATGCAGCACCAGCACCATTAACCACCGCTGAAGAGGAATTAGCGGAGCTCAAGAAGAATACAGTCACCACAGATTACAGCGTGGAAACAAGACATCAAACATTGAGTGGAGTTGCTTTCCCTGTGACAGACGAAGCAAAACAAGTAATTACAGAATTAGGCAAAGGCATACACGAATATGTTCAGTTGAAGATTGATTTGGAGGAGGAGAAAATACATTTGGTCACAGCTTGCGATGTTTCATTGGATAAACTGCCAACAAAGGTTCCGTCGGACTCTGCTAGATATCATCTTTATAATTTTAAGCATACTCACGAAGGAGATTATATGGAATGCATAGGTATGCCATGTAGACAAATACAGTGATCTTTCACCGAATAATGCTTTTTATTTGTTGCAGTTTTTATATATAGTATGCCTGGATATAGTTGCAGCATCAAAGAGAGAATGTTATATTCATCGTGTAAAGCACCTCTTCTAGACCTAATTCAATCGCTCGGAGTGAACATAACGAAAAAAGTGAGTACAAAATGTCCTAAGTTAATCACCCTATCTTATTTTGTTTCTATTCATTGGCTTCTGAATAAATGCATCAACAGTTACAAACTTATCAGTTGCATGAGCATTTGTAGAGTCTTTCGAGTAACTTAAATTAATTAATCATGGTAACTGTTTTCAATATAAAAATAAAGAAGAATAAACGTATTCTTTATTTTCCTTTGGCTGTACTGTACAATATTTCTTTTCTTCTAGTCTCTACTCTTTATTATACATTAACGTTAAAAGTAAAGTGTTGTTTCATTGTGAAATTTTGACAAATCCTAGTTGGAAGTAAATAGTGGCGAGGAGTTGGCAGACATGTTGGAAGATCCTCCAACCATAAAAGAAACAGCTGCTATAACTCCTGCAACTCCGTCAACGCCCTATGCCCCTACCCAAACAATATCCGAGAAAAAATCAAAGCAGAAGCGATCTTGTGTCTTGAGTTAACCGATTCTATGTGCTTCGATCGCCATTACTCTTGAATGTTCTTCGGTGTTAAAGTATTTGTGATGTTTTGTACATTGGATACATCTTCCTTCGTAAATTCTGAATTTGTGATAGTACGATATTAACATTGAGTACGTTGTTTAGAAAAGAACGATACAATGGGTTTTCCGATAGTTCTCGTTAGCGAGCGTATAGTTGCACCTGTTATTAGGTGAATTTAAATGAGAATTTCGCAGCGTCTTACAGAGATGAATTTTCCATTGACTAGCGATATTTATTGATATTTAGTATTAATTGGTCAAAAGTGATACGTATATCTATGTAGCGAGTCAGAGTAGACCGTGCGGTGTATTTTTCTAAATTTTAGAAAGCAAAATTCTCGCGATATAAGGTCTTCTTGATGCGTATTTTGATAACTACAAAGAGATTCTGGACAAATACAATTTCATTAGGATGCAGTTCTTGTTGATTCGTAAGTACAGCGATGAATGATTTTCCATTCATCCAGAGAATAACCGTAAGAATGCAATGAGATTCGGTTGCTTGATATTTGAAAGTGAAGCCTTCCACACTGGATTTTGCATTTTTTTAATTGTATGTTTCGAATATCTGAACGCAGGATAGAATTTACACGAAAGATTTCACAAGAATACTTTTGTAATTATAGTTCCTTTATTTTATTTTATTCTATACTTTATTGCTCGAATATATACAGTGGACTCTTAACTATATTGCCATGGATGGGGCTGTAGGGGAGTAAATGGCAATACAGTAAGAGTCCACTGTATATATATACATATATATGTATAAATATAAAAATCCAGTGAGTTGACTGTGTGAATTAGTTCCTAGTCCAATGGAAAGTGATATGTATTATAAGTCTCGTTTCATATTAATAATTCTGTTAGGTGAAACTCGAAGGCTTGACTTTCAAACTCATTCAAACACTTGTATAGGAGTTAGCGATTATAGGTACTAGAGTGTTTCAGATAAATATCTGTGGTAATTTGCATACCTTATGTGATTATTAGAGAGTTAGGGAAAATTCCATGTGCCCTAGCTAGCTGACGCCACTCACCTAACTTCTCTGCGTAAGTTAAATACGAGAATAATATAGCAGAAAAGTGATAAAATGTGCAAATACCACACATACGCGTGGATATATTTTTTTTGCACTTAATTTATTTATTTATTATGTTCTATAATATTGTAAATGATACAAAACACTAGACACCACAAATGTATGTATGAAGACTGATCTTGGTATGTCCCATTGGCTGTATAGTCAAAAAATCGCACAAAGTGTTCAAGATTCGTGTAGATAAAAGAAATAGCACTTTGTACAGTCCTCGTACAGCTTCCAGTTATTTATTTCTTATTTATTATCTTAATTCTCCAAGAAACGTATAACGACACAACAAAGTCTTCTAATTAACTTACATATGTGTTCCTAACGAATTAAAAAGAGGGGAAAGAATTGACCGCAATGAAGTTACGATTGGATTGTGATAAGTTATCAGTATTTATCGAGGGCAAACTGTATATTTTTTTAAATTTCATAAAGAAACATTCCTTCTATGAAATGTATAGCAAATGGGACCGTAATCTAATTGTCAGCAACAAGATATTCGAGAGGCATTCTATTTTTTGTGATCTGTATTTTTTTAACACTCGTAGCTTTTTATAAACTTTTTAAAAATTTTCGTCCAAGACACAAAAAACGAACGATTCACTGGAAGAGAGTTTGGCCTAATTTTAATTATTAGAGTAACGATAGTGAAGTGCGCCAAATTCTTGGCATTCATTTCATTCGACACGATGAAAAATGAGGCGATGCAACGTATCTGCAGTGACATTGTATATACAACAAAAAAAATGAAAGAATGTTAACTTGCACTTACTTTCAGACGTACATATTTGCTTTGATATGGAAGCGGGGCTCGACATATGAGATATCTTAAAGATATATAGAGAATTCCTTTATGGTTGGAATCTCAACGTACATACTCATAGTTTGTTAGTTTACATTTTTCCTTACAAGTTTTTTTTTGTAAGCACTGTTGTTTCACTTTTTTGTTCCTTCGTACTACTCCTCTACATTTTTCGTGTACAAGAAACATAGAATTTGGTACGCACTTTCAACATAGGGGTTCAAGACGAAAAAGAGATTAAAGGAAAGATTTTTGCAAAATGCTCAAGAAACTCTTAATAAAAATGTGTTCCGTGTTAATGTAACAACGCATATTGCAGCCTGGACACGCTTTTAGTTTATAATATCGTACCAGGCCTATTCTGTAAGTTTCTAGTGTAATTTTACTTTCATCCTGTTAATACATAACTATAGGTTTATAACGATTGAATAAATTGTATATCTTGCCAATACTAAACACGCTACAAACAATAAAGCATTATGCAATTTAATCGAACGGTTTGTTGTTTTAATCTTCAACAAGTTGATATCGAATACATTCGGATTTCTGCTTTTCTCTCTTTTTTTTTTTTTTTTTTTTTTTGACATCGTTATCGATCATAATTTATCCAAATAAAACAGGTCTGTAAGGAGTGCACGGTGATTCAATCCTTGGATGGGTATGTAATTATAATTAAGATCTTAAGATACCTTTCATCGAGCTTACAGAATAGGCCTATACATTTTAGGATTTTATTTCTGATTCCTCTTTTTTTTTTCTTTTTCTTACCTCTTCAAATTGTTCCTTACAAATTAAGCGACGCTTCCCTGATTTTCATCTGTGATTTAATAATTATTCTTTTGAAATGTGTTGACTGCGTAGCTTGAAATAGATGATGGAAGTGAACTAACTGAGGGATTTTTACAAGAGGAGTTACATCCAAAAGTCAGTTTACATCAGCCAAAATTCGCAAAGCCTAAGGGTCCACCAGGCAGAGGTGCAAAACGTTTAACCAAGGTCCAAGATTTAGGAACTTCCGACCGAGATAGTTAAATAGATAGTTTTAAAATTTATTGAATCAATCGAATGAGATATATATATATATATGTATATATACGCATAGATACGTACTGTATTCCTTCTCTGTTATCTTCTTCTGTTCTCTTTCTTTTTCAACCATATAGTATTATCCACTTTATGTATAAAAATTATCCTTTTCTTTTTTTTTATACACTTGAAAAACAATTTCTTTATTTTCATTCGAGTATCAGGCCTATTCTGTAATTACAACTTTAAACTGTATTACATTTTATTTATATCATATTTGTTTGTTCTGATGCACAGAGTATTATGAAGATTGTAAATAGGGATTGCTTATTACGATAATTGATTATGTTACCTGATAACGGATTCATATATGTATATATTAATACATATACATAAATTTTCAATAAAATGAAATGTAATTTTAAATAATGAAAATCCCGCGATACAATCACGCATTGAAGTAACTGTCTTTGTATTTTGTTTCTGTATTTAGTACATAATTGGCGTTGCTCGATAATTATCAGTTAATCAAGAATTTATACAGATTTATGAAGGTTTTAACTATATTTGTTTTAGAGAACTTTTCACTTGTCAACCTTTGGCTTGTCCAATGCATGATGCAACATTTTATTGTTTATATATATATCTTTCGCCATCTTCATTTCTTCGTCTACGTAACTTTTGGCTCTGTCTTCTATTTTCCTGAAAAAGTAAGCATTGCTTTGATGTAAATTAAACAGTAAAAGTCGTAAGACCATATTGTGAACACTTACTCATGCCTCTTTTTTACGAGTTTAAGATGCATATCATATACATCGTCAAGATGAACCCCCATTATATATAATATTGTTAATGTTACAGCCCCATAAATGGTCCCTAAAACAGTGCCAACAAATCCACCTGCAGTCATTCCTTTCAGTCCCATGTTCATTTTGTACAATGCACCTGTTATAAGACCTGCACCAGTAAAAATTGATAGATCATATTTTCCTCTAAATGCATACAGAACCATTGTTGCGGATCTGAGAAATAAAGCATTATACGAAGTTATGTACACACGATTCTTCTATCAAATGTGATTATTGATTATGGGAAATCTTACTGAAAGAGAAAGCAAAAAGTTCCAATCTTAAAAGCCATTGTTTTGCCTCCTTTGATGAATTCTATGGAATATGTCTGATGCAGTTGCTTGTTTGCGTCAAATCGATTCCTAAACAGAGTGGCTTGATTCTCTCTCTTGAAATTCTCTGGCACGTCCACAGTTCTGATTACTCCTCCAATGATGAATCCTATCAGTCCGCCAAGTAATGTATTGCTTATAATGGATTGGGACTCTTTGGTAAGACTTCCATCTCTATTGGAATGATTAAAATGAAGTTGATTATATATGCTTGAAACAGATGTTAAATTAAACAAAGTTTCAATCGATGCGTTCTTACTTGTCCACAAACACGCATTTTAACCTGTCCATGCTAATCTCGCCTGGTGTTACGGTTTCCACTTCAACCGGAGCAGAATCATTTTTATTTGTAACAATAATGTCGTGTTTATTCCAATTAACTGGAAAGAGAAATGTGTATAGCATTCTTCGGTCGAATGCTGAACGAAACATCCTATCTTCCTTTCAACTTATGTATGCATATTATATATATATATACTTCTAACTATAAGGTTATGTCACGAATAACTATATTTACTCTTACATCAAGATACTACAGCGATTCAGATTTTCGCAATTAATATTTTATGAGTCTTACAAAGTTCAATTACATATGTAACTGTTATTATACATATTTTACAAACTTTTTTTATATTGTACGCACATTTAACAAATCGATTACTTGTTATCGATACTCGAAAGTTGTGTCTTCCTCGAGAATCGAAATAATTCGAGAAACGAAGCTGTAGTTCGAACGAATTGCATGGTGAATTCGCGGTCGTTTCGGTATGTGCTGTTGATTCGCGATTTAAACAGTTCATTGCAAGTTTTGAATTAGTTTCTTACATCTTACGTCTTCTAAATTTACGTTTCTATAAATATTTGTCGAACTGTGTAATAACTAGTGGGAATGTTGTTGCTAAAAGATTCGAGTACGATTGCAGAGGATGACCAGGAGATTACAGAGATCGAAAAATGACAGCGGTGAGTGACTATTCTTAAATTAAATTTAAAAAAAGATCTATTCTGGCTTCATGGAACTATTCTGATTGATATGACAACAGTCATAACGGCACTATCGCCACAGTAGTCAAATTCTACTGTAATAATTGCATTATACTCAGGGCTATAGCATCTATTGTATAACCACCGATTCGGTATAGAATAGACCATTCAATGCTTTTTTCTGTCCAACGGTCAGGGGGCTACGTAGCCCCATTACTATTTCAGTGTCAATACCCTGCAATACCCGACGTTATCTATGTATAAAGCATGAATTTTGTGTATGTATATGATGTATATCATGTAACAAATGTCGTATAGTCACAACTATACTTTAACATCCGATATATTATATATATATATAATTACAATTATGCTACGATTAGCTATGAAAACTGAAGCGTGCCGAAGCCAGCTGAAGTGTAACCGCAACAACGTGGTACTGGTGGTGGTGCACCATAACCTAACTATAAAAAACAATAGCATAGTCACAATACTAATAATACTCTATCTTCCATACCTCGTCTGTAGATATGCACTGGATACAATGTTAATGCTTTTTGGACTATAATCCCTTCACAAACCTACGGATATATCGTAAGTCATTAACCTCAGTGATACCTAAATTAATCATCGATGGCTCAAACTGTATAAATATCTTTCTCGTTATTAATAGAATCATCTATTTCCAACTGTAAAGGGTCTACAATGTCGAATAATATCGTAACCACCTGACCTAACCTTCACGCAGAGCAAAAACGCTAGTTCGCCTAGAGGTGGAGATTTAATTCGTAACTAGAGATTCGAAGGCAAGGGGTAACACGTTCCCTCCAGTGGAAATGGTTTTGGGAGTCATGAGCATCGAATTTCAGGTGCGAACCAGAGGGAGCCTAACAAGCAACCGTGACCACACCAGGTTGCATACGACGATTGGACACACGCGCCGGCGTACGACGGCGTTCTGACGTAATCCTGTTACGTCAGAACGCGGCGGAGGGGGCCGGGGGTCTGGCACGCGATAGGGAGATGTAGTACGGCGTGGGTGTGCTGGCAAAGGATGACGAGGAGGGGAACAGCAGGCAGAGAGAGGGTGGAACGTCAATAGGAGAATCCTTTGCGTGACGGGTGGGAGGATCGTCTGAAAAGAGGGGCGAGTGTAAGGGGGTGGGTGTCGTCATCAAGGTGGGCTGGAAACCAGGGCTGTAACAAAACGCATTAAACAGTGCACCATGAACTGTGTATACACACCAAACACCTAACAACTGTTGAACATATTAATAAACAGACCCCATGGCTGGTCCACCGTAGATTTTTACAATATTTCTTTCCATTATTATTGCATACTAGCACACAATATGGATATGTATCAATAAGAGCTTGAAACTGTACATGCTATTGTTTGAGGTGTGTAAAAGGTGGAGTTCGGATTAAGAATGCATGGCCTCGATGCTAAACTGGCTAATGTTGGTACAGTAATGGCGAGACTAACTTGGAAAATGCAATAAAATAACGGTTTTAATAATTTTTAACCGGTGAACTGTTGTTCATAGTTTCTAGTCAAATTTCTGAACTTTAAATGTCTGCTGAACGAGCCTCGGCTCTTCCAGCTTGGGTATCAGCAGGGGGGCTGGTTACACCAGAGCCTGTATACGGTGTAACGGTCAGAAAACCCTTGTTTTTACGAGACAGCGGCCTCTTATCGGCCAAGATATTCTCCCTTCAGTTTCTTCCATCCCCTTGTTACGTTTTACGACTACAGCACTGCTGGGAACGACGACGCGTCAGGGGTGAAAGCCGGGGGGCCGTGTTATGTTTGCCTCGCATAGTTTTCGGAGTGCTTAACTTCAGGAGCCACCTGGAGGACAGAATAATTCAATGCGTTTACTATAATTACCATGTTGAAATCTATCGATCGACGACACCCCGGACTGACTGGCTCGCCTGAATCAACGACCTCTTCGACGTCCAACAGCGAACACAGTAGCGGGACGTTCTAATATCAATTTCTGAGAAACTGCTGAGGTCTGCAGACCATCAAAACTGATAGAACATTGGCTCGAAGTGATTTAGGAGATCTAGAAGAGGATACACAGAGTATCTTGCTATTAGAATGGTTTTTCTCTATCGAAAACTGAAGACCTAGAAGTCTGAAGATACCCTATGTTTCAGGCGATTGTCAGAAGATCTGAGTTAGTCCCACCTAGAGACTTCCATAGGCAAACTACAGAGTCCCAAAGACCCAAAGCATAACGAAGATTCTGCTTGGTACCCTAGGAGCTCCCACAAGAAGAGTACAATATTCCAGCACGTTAAGATCCAGTTCCCTTGCTAAGTGAGGATCTAAAATGCCCAGATGATCCCAAGATAAACGATCCGTTGCAAGTAGATAAAGCTCCAAGGAGATTCGAGTTACTTGTTGCCTATGTCGCGGCATTAATGGTCAGGATAGAATCGTTCGAATACCAGCGAAAGCAGCGGCTTAAGTCTCCGTTTCTAAACCCCCGTTAATACCTCCATTTGAGGAATGCCTCACGGTTATCATTGCCTTTCCATTCTCTTTTAATCACGTCGCAGCGCGCTCACGGTGTTTCTGGTTCTCGCGACGTCCGGGGCTTACGTGTGGATCAAAACAAGTCTTGTTCATTCAACCAGCCCCGGAAAGGCAGCCAGCCACCACGGTCTAGATAGACACATATCCAGATAGCACGTCAACGTGTACACCATTGAGCCGGGGGTGGTCTTTCGAAGCCACGATGCGACAGGGGTGGCTTGTTCGGAGGGGATAAGCTGTCTACGTCGTGGGGGGTGGCGTTCAGGGACGTATCATCTCGAGGGTTCCGCTCGTGGCAAGCAGCGCCGGATCAAAAGGTTCTAGGGGGGTTGTAGCCCTGAATTCTGAACCTTCCATTTCGTTATTGATTAAATGGTATTTAATTTTATTTAAAATAAATTTCAATTTTTGAAGATTTATGTATTTTGTTGTGCTGTATTACAAAAAAGGCTCTCTCGATTTTCAAGCAAAAGGGCCCCTGAAAATCTGATAGCCTTGGGCCACAAAAAATCTTAATCCGGGCATGGTGGCAAAACATTCTGTTATCTGGATTCATGTTACCGTAACAGTTAACGTGATACCGATAGCAGCTGTTACTACTACCCCTTTAGTAGATTAGAGACAGAACATTCGGGTGTGCATACAGGACGAAAATACAATAGCACAATCGATTATATTAGGCAATGTATGCAGAAGAATGTAATTTGAAAAATGCAAGCAAGTGTTTCTAATTATCTATTTATCTAAATCTGTTAGGCGAGGTCCAGGACATTTTGTATATTGATTAGAACAGTATTAGTGGAAGATTATAGTGAAATTATGATTGAAGATCTGGTACACTCATGGGCAGCCTGGAACCTTTGAAGAATTCAAGGGACTTAACAGTTTCTGATGAAGACAAGCCTTTTGTAGACTTTACTTCTTCAGTGAGGATTCACAGTTATTGGAAAATTCTGTTTTTATGTTATTTAAAGAATGTTCCGGGGGAGTCAATGAAAGGCGCGCCTCGTGGAAGTCTTTTGGAGTAATTCTGCTTAAATATTTCAGAGGTTCAAAGGAATTGTAGAAGTTGGGTGATCGATAATCGTCCAGGAATTATGAGATTTTAGCGGGATTAAATTTAAGGTCTGGTATACAACAAGAGAATTAATCGTCCTATAACCCTGGCACGAAATGAAATTCTATTGTCATTGGAAATACTACTCGAATTTCAGGGAACGGTCTGATGTTTGATGCTTGGCGGCAACTGGTGGGTCCCACGTTTCCCTGTCATGGGAACTTTACGGCCAAGGACGACGTATTTTTAAGCCTGATCTTCGATTATCCACCAAATTGGACGTTACGCCAGCGGATAGATACTGACGGTCAACCCTGAAGAGCCAATTCATCGGAAGCACCTCAAGTGCATCATCTGCGACCATCAGAAATTTTACAGGCTGATGAATGTTCAGTAAACAGGATGAAGAAGATTGGATAATGATCGGGAACAGTTGGAGTATCGGTGTTCTAAACCCTGGGACTGAAACCTCAGGGTTTCGGAGAGATTTTGCTTCTCTGAATACTTGTAAAATTACACAGAACCAGGTACCATTCGCGATTGTACACCGTCGTGTTTTATTGGCCTGGGAAGGGGAAGCGCGGCATAGAATCAGCGACGTATCATTCGGTGGGGATGTTACAGAGGGTGCTAGCGATGGGATTGATCAGACTTAGCTACTTGCACTCTCAACAAACAATGTTACTGTCGAAAATTGTGCCTTAGAAACGTCAGATGCATATTAATTCGTACCTAAGGGGCCGTTTTTCTCGATAATATAACCAAGATCGGTACTATTTCTGGGTTCTTTCATAGTTACAATACTCTGAATAATCAAAGGGAACTGATTTCGATACAAAATAGTCTTTCTACCAGGGTTCGACGTTTCTCAAGACCATAGCTATACACGTCGAGTCGACAGATTGATCAAAACCAGAAGAATCACTCCCGAACAGGGCTTGAAACGGTTCCGAAAATAACTGTTTTAAACTATTATATAAAAATTCCGATTGAAAGAGTTATGAAGAACCTTTATTCTGAATAATTGTTACGAAGTACCTAAATTTATTCTATAATACATTCTTAAAATATATTCTATTCAGAACTGATATAGAACCTAAACAATACTGATATGGGAGCTGATATAGGAACCGTAACTGACCTTTATATAGCCTGAGATTTAGGTTCTTCGTAACAGTTATTCAGAATAAAAGTTCTCCATAACTGTTTCAAGAACCTAGACCGAAATCATAACAGTTTTCAAGCCCTGCTCCCGAATCTTGTTCGATCCCATCGTTTCCCCGGCGTTTAGGGTGTATCGTCGAGATGGAAGGGAGGCCGTAGCGGGCAGGGGAGAGGTCGTTGTCGCGGTAGGGGTTGGTATCCGTTGTGGTGGGGTCGCGGGGCTCGTTCCAAGAGGGGGAGGGTGGAGACGACGCGCGCGGCTAAGGCGTACCGGCCGAAGGAGAGAGGGAGGCGAGAGAGCGTAACACCCCACCGGCCTTCACTCGTGTCTGTCGCACTAAAATGTGACTCTGGCCAGCAGCGCAGCACCGGGAGCCGTGTGTGTCCGTTGAAGAGCGAGCAAGAGACGTGCGGTGCCGGGGAATTTTGCGTTAGTTTAGAACGTGGCCTGTGCTGGGCCGGCTGTGCGCTCGGTTCGAACGTCAAGAAGAGGTACAGGAAGAAAGAAACCATCCACAGGAAGTGTCGAACGAAGAGCAAAAGGAAAATTCGCCCCTTAACGGTGGGCAACCGGGTGTACAGAAGGGTGGCGCGCGCGGACGGTGGCCGACCAGTAGTGTGACCGTGGAAACGCTGCCAACGAAACATATCAATTCTTCTGTGGTTAGCCGTGCGTGGCCAGGAGACCAGATCTGAGTCTGATCAGCCTAGATACTAGTTAGAGTAGCTCGGAGGGCAACGTGTGGCGAACGAGACCTTCCTAAGTGGCCTGGACTCCCAGGTGGATCTAGCTGAAAAAGATTGAAGCGGGAGGATGTGGATGGCGATGTCGCGAGGGTATAATTGAGATATCGCTGGGACCTTGGCGGACAGGTGTGTAGTTGTGGAGACCACCAGTTTGCTACCTGGGTTGCTGTAGACCTCAGGAGGGGATATTTTGTGCCACTGGAGAGAGAGGAGATCAGCTCGATGACTGGTCGGGAATAGTTTGCTAACGTTTCACCGTGAACTGTGTGATTCTTTGTGCTCCGGGGGACGAGGCGGAGGAACGAGGATCGAGAGCACAGGCTAGAAGAAGATAGGTAAGTCTTTTTATCTAAATTGTTTTTTGCTGGATGTCCTGGGTTCGGTCGTGTGGTTCAGAATGTTTGAAGTAGTGGAATATTCAGGTGAGGATAGATTATCTAACGTGAATTCCAGTGTTTCTGGAAGTTTGCTTCATCAAAAATTCAACTTTTCAGGCTTATCCAAGTACTTCAAACATTTTAAATGCGACTTTGTCCATTATTTTCAGTTGTCAGTCTTACTACCTCTGTGTCTCTAGTCCCCTAACTAGTACTCTAGAGTGAAAGAATTTTTAAATAGGTGCTTAAATGTCTGTATCCACTGAGGTAATCTAGGTCCAACACATGGATAGAATTTTGGACACTAGTTGATCTTCACCTTGAAGTAAACTAACAGAGGACGAGGA